CGGAGAAGAAGCTTCACAAGATTTGGTTAACAACTCTTAATGCCTTTTTGGCAATGCTGTTATAGTGAGCTCTAGGGCTTAGATCATTTGAGATGAGTACTCCTAGGTCCTTGACAAAGTGAGGGTCATCTACGAGATCTTTTCTGCCCAACTTGTATTTGGTGTTCTGATTTATTTATTTTTTTGCCAGTGTGCAGGATAGAGCATTTATTAGTTGAGATTTGGAATTACCAAATGCGTGACCATTCAGACACATAGTCAAGGTCGCTTTGTAGGGCAGCAGCATTGTCAGTGGTGTTAAATAATTTTACATCATCAGTGAAGAGGACACAAATGCTTTTAATATAATCGCATGGGTCATTGATGTAAAGCAGAAAGAGTGTGGGTCCTAAAAAGGCTGCTTTGGGGGACACAGCTGTTAACTGGTGCTGTATTTGATTGGGCCCTCCCTATTTTGACTATTTATTGCCTGTTGGATAGGAACGTGGCTATCCACTTGTGCTGGGATCCAGAGATGCCGTAGGAACTTAGTTTCAACAGTAGTTTGTCGTGCACCACTGAATCAAAGGCTTTACAGAAGTCTATGTAAATTGTGTCTATTGCTTTACTCTGGTCAAGATGTGTGGTCCAAATGTTTCTACAGCGTAGGAGTTACAGATTACAGGAAAAAAAATTTCTAAAAGCAAGCTGCTTGTTAGATAGCAGGTTGTTTGAGGCTGATGGATTGGTTTATAATTGATTCCATAACTTTACAGATGACGCAACACAGTGAGATTGGTCTGTAATTTTCTACTAGACTAAACCGGTCTCCCTTTTTAAAGATAGGTATAACTGTGGCTAATGAACATAGGTTGGGCAAGGAGCTGGTTCTGAAGGATACCTCATAGATTGTGCATAGAGGTTCAGCTAGGGCAGTGGCAAGCTTTTCCAAAAAGTAGGCACATAATCCATCAGGACCAATAAATAGAGATGGCTTTAGGTTACGTAGTGCCATTTCAATGTTATCTACTGTAAAATCAATACATAGTAAATTGTTACAAGTTGTTATGGTACGACTAGGAAATGGGGGGTAGCAGTCATTGCTGTCAACAAAGACTGAACTGAAGAACGTATTGAAGAGTTGGCCTTAACAGCTTCATCATTACAGTCTTCCCCGTTAGGCCCTTTTAGGGGTGGGATAGTTTTCGAGTCTTTAAGTTTGGCATTTACGAAATTATAGAAGGTTCGGGAGGAGTTGGAGTTTAACTGCTCTTCCTCCTGTTTGCAATGGTGATTGGTACATTCAGCCTTTATCTGGCGGCATAAGGCTTTGTAGTGGTTTTTAAAGTTGGCTATGTAGCCAGTTTTATTATTATGACCCTCTTTGTAAGGACACAAATTGAGAAAAAAATCAATCATGCTGTGATCACTGTTGGAAAAAGGTTCTTTAACTTGTAGGCAATAAATTGAGTTTAAGCTATTGCAGAAGATGAGATTTAAGCAATTGTTGAGCTTAGTATTGTTCGTTACCAATTGCTCAAGCCCCAGAGTCATAACAGCATTGTACAGGGTTGCATGTATAGGTTCAGTTGTACATTCGTTTAGGGTCCAATTAATAAGAGGCAAATTGATGTCACCAAGAAAGAAAAGGGGGTGGGGGCAGGAAGCTGCCCACGTTAGTAGTGCAGTTAGTTTGTTCATATGACCAAGGTTGTAATCAGTGGCTCTATAACATAGCAAAAAATGAACTGTGGTATTTAGGGATAGTTCACAGACAATGGTCTCAGGAAGAGCAAGCTCCTGTGTAACATTTATCTTTTTCAGACCTAGGGACTTTTTATAGAAGATAGCAACACCAACCACTCTACAATTATAATGGTCAGACTGGAAATTAGATGTAGGGATGTCTTTTATTTCCACTGACTACAATGAATCTTGTAACACTGAGGTCTCAGCAGTGGTAAATGCCACAAATGTTCTTTAAAACCTATGCCAGCCTAGCCTTGAAACAGGAAACCAGGACAGGGTGATAGGGTGCCTATAATGTTGTTTCAGAATAATTCCCACCCATTTTCATCTTGTCCAAGTTCTTTGAGCCAGCAAAGGAGCAGGCATCTTCTAGATCACCAAGACACCCAAGGTATGGATACTGCAGATAGCAGCAAGAATGCCATAGTGGGAATATACTTTTCTTTGTATCTGCCTTTCACATTATTTTAATGCCATTCAATTTAATGCATTTAACAGCCTCATACTATTCTGCTTTGCGGGTGAAATGTGAACATCGCTTACGTCCTAAAATAAATTTGGATAAGATCTGTTTTGTTCTCCTAAAAATGGAACATATTTACAACTGATGATTATTCCCAAATTGCTCTTGGTCTGGAACTGGGATAATAAAGTTTTAATGACAATGGCATTTCCTTTAATTCCATCGTCAAGTTCTCCCAATCTGCTAGATACATTTTTTACCGGAATAATAAAAAAATAGCAAGGTAGAGATGTATACAAATTTCAAAGAGTCCTCTATTGAATTGAAAAAAAATAATAGGAAAAATTCAAGGTTCTCATTGTTTGTGGACTTTTTACTCTGTAGAATGCAATTTGTAATTGCCTCCTTGAGATAAGTAAAATAGCCATCAGAAAATTAAATCTTCTTGGAAAAAAAATTATATATTTTAGATAATCCAAGCAAGGCAATGTCTAAAATTGATACCATTCTTAATACAACTGTATATTTTCTTTAACAAATCCTTAGAGATATTGGAAAGGCAGATAAAAAAGAGAATTATATGCTAATTAATGTGGGAAGGAATATGGCAACCCGCTCCCGCTTTCTGAGCCATTCCCATATTAATTACAGAATCCTCTGCCTTTCATTTGCAAATGACATTTTAGCATGGTTCGAATTAATAAAAAATTCAGCATATGTAAGAAAAAAAATAAAAGATGCTAGACTGATACTCATCTTTGAATAAAAAATGTTGCAATCTCTCTCAGCCAACTAATTTCTCTGGGGTATAGTGAGCGCTTCCTTTCATGACAGAAGTTAGGGGCATGGGAAGCTTCAGCGGGAAGTGTGGAAAGCAGAGAGGAAATGAGCTGTCAAAGGTACTTGGGGGGAGGGAAGCTGGCAGCAGCACCAAATGAAACAGATGCTTCCCCCACCACCCAGTTCTGAAGTTTGCTTTGGTCTCTAACACAACCAGCTAAATGAAATATTTCTCTCAACTGTTATGAATCCTTGAGATATGCTGTTTTCTTAGAATCATGTCAATCAAGGAGAATATGCATCATATAGGGAAAATATGTCCTTTTCTGGTAGTCTGCATATCCTGCCCTCCTGGACTTAAAGTGAAATTTTGTGCCTATTGACAGGAGATTGTAAAAGGAGGGGGATGGACTGGAAAGCATGAGGATTTTTGCCACGGCAACCTGAGCATCTTCCAGATAGGAAAAGTTCAATTCCCAGAATCCCGCCATCAGGAATAGCTCTTCCTCAGAATTCTAGATTTGACATCCATTTTGGATGTTGCCAAGTTTAGTAAGTTCTGTGCCAGAACTGAAACCGATTATTGGCCGTGCCCCTACCTGGGAGCAGAAAGGATGAATAGCTGAATGGTTGATATGAATTGCTTCCTTCACTTGATGAGGGAAAGAAAACATTAAATGTTCCACCACACCAAAGTGTTATTATTCAAGGCAAGAGCCAGCAGAAAACCATACTGGTTTGAAGAAGTGCTGATTGCATTCCGGATGCCTATTTTGCCTTAGCAATGCAGCAGAGGAGAGGGTCTGTCTGCAGCACAGGTGGGAGGGGGAGAAGAGAAGTGAGTGGGAAACACCTCCTTTGATGCTGATTTCTGGCAGCAGAAGATCTACAGGAATTCTGCTTTAAGGTCTTCAATCTCACAGGGCAGTGTTTCCCAGCCTAAATAATTCCCAGCCAGCGTGCTTAAAATGGCTGAAGTTGAGAAACATTGCCATAGGGCAATCGCTGTAGGACTGGGGAACTGGCAGTGAAAGAGCCCTTCTGCTCTACTTCTCCTGCCAGTCAGAGGGGCAGGTAAAGCAAAGGGAGGGAAGGAGGAGGTTTTGGTGGTTTTTTTCCTCTGTCCCTGGCACCACACAGAGCCCCACCTCTCCATGAACTGGCACCTAAAGAGCTGCTTTCCCAGTAGATCTGAAGTGACTGTGCATCTGCAACCCCTATAGTAGAGCTACCCACAGGTCCAGTGAGAGGCTTCCAGCTGCAGCTTTTTGCTGGCACCCCGTGGGAAAGTTGCCATGGCATTATGGAAGGATTGTGGTACTGACTTGCTTGGGAGTGGAAACAAGAGAAGCATCCCTCTAGCTACTCCACAGGTGGAAATGAGTCTTTTGATTGCTGGCAGAAATGCCCCCTCTCTTTCTTCCCCTGCTTCATCTGCTACCCCTGGGCTGGGAAAAGAAGTCAGCAAGGTGGCTTTTTGGTCCAATGGGACAGCCCTGACTCTCCTGCTGCTGAAAATGAGTGGCCAGCAGCCAGAAGGGATGCCACGTCCACAGTAGCCTCAGAGGGGACATAGGACCAGGACAGACCCTAAGTCTAAACTTATCACAGAATAATTGGCTTTAGACTGACCCTCGGCATGACTTGCATTGGTGGAAGTTGAAAAACACCCCTTTTGAAGTGGAGAGAAAAAAACAGAACAAGGCTGCTTTTGTGGTGGGTCAGGAAACAAGTCTGAGAAAGATGCTGTGCATTCGTGTTCTTCAGAAACAATCAGTAGGCATCTTTGCAGACCAGGCCAAGTAGATAGGCCCTTAAGAAAGAAACCTTAAAGAATGTAGATAGTCCAATCTTTCTCCACCCATATTTCTGCCCTTGCAGCTGCATGCAGCCAGCAAAGCAATGGAAATACTCCATGCTCAGAGTTTCCACTTCACATTAGGCCTGCTATGATTGGTGTTCCTTAAGACGCCCAGAGATTGTCCACTCTGGGTTAAGATAACATGCAAGTCTTATTTTTGTTTTGCAGATGTGGAAGAATGGCACAGATGCATCCTTCCCTTTGAGGGAAACACCAGGCTCTCTCCCTAACAACTCAGCACATTTGCAATGTGTGGCTGAAGCAGCATTCCAGCACCTACTGTTACCCATCATTTACAGCCTGGTTTGCATCCTGAGCCTGGCTTCAAATGGCGTGGCCTTATGGAGCTCTTGGGTCTACCGAGCCCAGGCCCCACCCATCATGATCTTCATCTACAACCTGATTATCATTGACCTGCTCTTTGCCCTGTCGCTGCCATCACAGGCAGTGTATCATGCCAGGCACAATGACTGGCCCTTTGGAGAAGGCCTGTGCAAGGTCACCAATGCCCTCTTCCTGGCCAACATGTTCAGCTGCACCCTTTTCCTGGCCTGCATCTGCCTGGAGCGTTATGTGGCTGTCCTCCATCCTGTCTTCTACCTGCGCCTCAAATGGCCTCTGTATCGTGTGCTGCTCTCCATGGCTATCTGGTCTTTGGTAGGGATTGGATTGCTGATCTTCTTCTCCAGGAGCACCGTGACTCATCGCTTCTCCAATGGAAACACCGCCTGCATGGAAAACTTCCCAGCCCAAGTTTGGAGTGGAAGTCTGGCAGCCATGGTCCTATCTTCCTCAGCCCTGGGCTTCTTCCTGCCCTTCCTTACTATCATTACCTGTTCCATTGTGATTGCCCACCGAATTATGAATCTGGGCCATGGGACAATGCAGGCGTCTTCATTGCGTAGGCATTCCCTTCAAACCCTCTTGATGGTGACGAGCCTGCTCACCTTCTGTTTCCTCCCTTTTCATATCATCCATGTACTACATACCCTGGGACGTATTGGCATTCTTTCGGCTCCAGGATTGCTGCATTTCACTTGCTCAGCCCAGCGTGCAGCTATGGCCCTTGCTAGTATCAACAGTGCTCTTGACCCCTTGGTATACTATTTTAACATGAAGCCTGCAGTTTGGAAGCTACCATGCTGTGGCTCAGTCAGTCAAAATCTTATGGAGCCAGGTGAGATTGCTGATAGCACAGGGGAGCGCCCTAGAAGGAGCATAATTCTTAGAGACTGAACTTTGTCTATGGCTTCTTTCTGACATCTAGGTGAAAGCGGAATCAGGATATTATTGTAACCTAAGTTACAGTATATGCTCCTCTTTGGCAGAGAGACAGACTGAGAGAAAAAGGGAGAGAGAAATTTTATCCATGAGTTATTGGTTTAATGCTTGCCTTGACTGGCATAATGCATCATTAGCCCAGCCTATATCATGGCCTTGTCTAAGTTAAGATATAGGGGAATGGATGAAACTGTATCACCCAATCTTTTTCTTCACCAGAGTGTTTGTTCTATAGTTTCCACTGTCCCAAACAGCGCTCCAATGGATAATGCTGGTTGGTCATCACTCAGGTTGAAGACTAGATTAGAATGTTCTTTCAAGATCAGATAAGAACTGTAGCCCAAGAACAATCAGTCTGTAGCAGTGGGAGCAAAAACTATTTAGAGACGAGGACAGAAAATAAAAATAAACCAGGAATCCAGACTAGAACTATCAGATTTGTGTTGCAATAATCTGGGTTAGAACTGCCCCATTTTGCTCCCATCTAATGAAAGAATGTGGCTGCGGCCTAGTTCTTTCATCCTAATACAGATGACAGCAGAAAATAATGGTTTGGGAAGCAACACAAAACTGTTGTGACTCTAATTGGGTTTCATGTATTGGGCTGAACCATAACATAATTTGGTTTGGGCCTGCTGTACTGTTCAAGTTAGCATTGTGCTTTCTAAACTATGATTTTACAGCTTTGTGTAGCATGTGAATTCAGCCATTATGATTTATTTAACAGATTATGGCTAACAAAAGCTTGGCATGGAGAAACTTTGGCAGGCAAGACTCAGAGTTCAGGAATAATATGAGGCAAGGAAAGTTTATCATGTTAATCAAGACTGGAAGCACTGTAATTGTTGGGATTGTTACTTTCTATTTATATAATTGTGCACGATTTTGGCTCAAGGTCCAGGAGATTGGGAGATAAATAAGTAATAATCTGTACAAATCAGCTTTGGAAATACCTTGCAGGATATGGATTAATTTATTACCTGTTATCATCTCCCAATACATTTCCCAGCCTAACAGTTGAAACATCAAGAGTTACAACAGCACAGAAGCTATAAAAGACATTCCTCTCAACTACTTGATTAAAAGGCCCTATTAAGGGGGTCCTAGTTACACTGGCATAGCATGGTTTCTTCAGTTCTTACCACTGCCAAATCTGGACATATGTCTGAACCTGGTCTTTTACAGAATCTTGATCAATATCCATCTAGGGAAGAAGATCTGGAGAAAATATAAAGCTTTCCATTTGCAACTGTTAAGAAGGTTACACATAAACAGCATTGTCCATTGGTATTTAAATGGACTTTAAGGCAGACTTCTTATAATGTGAGATTTATATGGATAAAGTGTGATGATATACAAATAGTCCTACTTCTTCAACAGTACCCTCTGGATACTACAAACGTGACACAACTATTAAGGACACTAAAATACAGAACTTCAGGGTAATTTTTTAAATTCTTGGATGTAGTTCTCAGAGCCAATCTAAAAGTTATTATCAAACTGTAGTTCTTTGTAATGGGGCAGAAAAGGAATCTTAATCTCATATATTTAATAATTGTTATTAGTTGTAGCTTATTAATTTAAATTCAAATGAAATGAAATGATTTTTATGTCCTCTCCCAACTTTTGGGGAGTGTAGCCCCCAGCTTCCTACACAAAAACCCAAATCGGAGGTAGTTACTAAATTAGGCAATAATGGGTAATGGGTTACCCAAATAATGGGTTCTGATAATGATTCATCATGTTAACCCTTTAAAATGAGAAATACAAAAGTATTTAGGATTTTTAAAGAAACTGGATTATTTCAACACGGCAAGGTAAACCATAGCAACCATAAGAGAATAATTCTTCTGAGTATCACAAGCCCCTAACATTTTGTAAAGGATTGACATTTTTTATTTTTTGTTATCACAAATTCAGAATTGCTTTAAATTGAAGTCCTTGAGAAATGCAGTTATCTTTGAAAGTAAAACAGAAAAACAATATTCCACATAAAGATTTTTCTTTCAGCTGAATGTCATTTCTTAATAATGAAAGGATAGAAATTTTAGCTCCAGTTGCTTTATTCAGAAAACTGAAGACATAAGAAGAAACAACTTGATATTTTTCCTGAGTGTGATTGGTCTTTACCAAGAATGTTTTTTCCCTTTTATTTTCCTTTCTATTTAAAATATTGCTAATGCAGTAGATGTGTTGCTAGTTCAAAGGCATTAACTGCAATCCTAAATTTACAGCAATATGCCGGTTTAATTAGTGCTTTTGTGTCCAATGCTTTACTGAATTAAGTAGGTAGAGTATACGTACTATTAAAAAACTGGAAAAAAAATCCTCTATAATAAAATATATATCAAGGTCTATCAAAAATGAATCAATAGAAGTTAAATGGTTCATTGGGTGCTTTACATCCCACTATTTTCAATACAATTAACACTAAACCAAAAAAGCCACATTTTTCTCACATTTTCTTGACATTTTTCTGTCAAGTCGAGAGTGAGACCCCTTCCTTCATTTCCATCCAGTCTGTTTTTGTCATTTTTTTCCTCTTTCTTCCTTTGAATTGCTTTTACTGTAACTCTCTTGTTTTGGGTTGTTGTGAGTCACCCAGAGTTGTTGGAAACACCACAACCCAAAGTTGTGGTGTCACACAACTTTGATAAACAAACAAACAAACAAATAGTCTGGTACGTGGTTCTGCATATACAAAACCTGATTTAGTCTGATTGTGGTCCAAGTTTTTATTCCTGCTCTGGACTAAAGTGGCTAGATAACATCTCTGTCTCTAACAAAATTGCATGTTCCTTCACTAAATAGTTGCATGGGTTCTGCAGGCAGCCCCATTTCCTTGTGCCAAAACATAAAAACATCTTGCAGACTCTGACTCTTCTGAGGATGCCCCAGGCACTACTCCTCGAGTTTTGTGACACTGCGACCCTTAAAATGATGAATGAATGAATGTGTAAGATCCCTCCATAAATAAAGCTAATGATTTCACTGAAATTAGTGAGGTTCGAAAGTCCAAAATCAACTTCGATGCCTGAGGTAACTTTTTTTTAAAAATTCAGCCGACACTGCCATGCTTTATGCCATGTCTACAGAACCAGTTTCTTACTTATTTCTATTTATTTTATTTATTAACTTATATTCTGCTTTTATTAGCCTTACAAATGACTCAAGGCAATGAACATATGCAACACACCCTATTTATTTATTTGTTTGCTTGTTTATTTTTCCATCCATCTCGCGTCTGACGACTCTGGGCAGCTTACAACATAAAAACATTGAAAAACATTAAAATCGTCCATTATAAAAACACCGCAGACAAAAAATATTAAAGAGTTAAAATCATGGACACAAGAGGGCAAAGAAGGGAGCCAGACACATTTGGGGGGGGAGAGAAATAGGGTTGAATTTTAATTAGTCAACCACTTCCAGTATGAAGCTTCCCCATTGGGTCCCCAAGCCATCTGGCAGAGCCAGGTCTTAACGTTCTGTGATACATCAGGAGGGTGGGAGCCAATCTCAGCCCAGGGGGGTAAGGTGTTCCAGAGGACAGGAGCCATGGCAGAGAAAGCTCTTCCTGCTAGCCAAAATTCCTTGGCTGATGTGATCCACAGTTTGCCCCTTCCGCCAGCACAGGTGGGACCAGCCAGTCCCATCAGGGTGAGATGGTTCCTCAAGTAGTCTGGATCCATGTCATGCAGGGCTTTAAAGGTGATGGCCAACACTTTGAACTGTACCCGGAAACAGACCAGCGATCACTGCATCTCACAAAGCAGTGATGTAACATGGACCATTCTAGTGGCCCTAAGAACTGCCTGCACTGCCACACTTTGCATCCAGCTATAACTTCTGAAAGCTCTTCAAGCATTTGAGTGCACACCTTCCTCTTCCTATTTTCCCCACAACAATAAGAGGTGGCACAACAAATTGTGAGGCGAGTTGGGCTAAAGGAAAGTGACTGGCCCAAAATCACCTTGCTGGCTTTTATATGGCAGGACTTGAACTCATGGTCTCCTGGTTTCTAGCCTGATGTTTTAATCATTCAACAAAATTGGCTGTCTGCAATTTGCCCAAAGGTCACCAATGGCCCAAATTTCAGTGGTTCCAGGAGAAATGCCCCATCCAAACATGGTCAATCAGTTCAATAAACTAAAAAACACAACAAGAATAATACCTTCACAGCATATGCTTTGGCCATGGAAAAGCACAACTAAATTAAATGCACACTGGCCCATATTCTGTTTGTGGAAAGCAGTCCATGAGGCACATTCAGTGAAGCAGATGCTCCAGCTGTTCCTCCATGGAGTTTCCAATCTGTTTGCTCAAGGCAGGATACTGCTCTCTTGCATGCAACATGAATTATGTCAGTTATACAATAGATACAGTACATTTGTATATAGGTATGTTCCAATACATGGCTACGCAGAATGAAAACTCCTGTCAATTTGGTGGAACTTACTTCCAACAAAAGATGTGCAAAATTGAAGCATAAGATTAGAATCATGAATGATTTTTTATAAAATTCCCTAGGAAACATACAAAGAACATTTACAAACCTAATGAGCCACAAGATAAACTTACTGGATTGACTAATTTTGAAACTCACATACAATACTATTCTATCCAGATTGTCTTTCAATCAGAAAAGAAGGCCTCCAAGAAGTCAAAATAATGATCAGAAAATTTCTCATTATGCTCAGGACAAACACAAGAACTTTCCCACATGTTCCTGGCTATAAATACTTATGGTATATTAGGTGAGGCTGATTATCCCAACAGTAATGGAGACCAAGGCCCTCATGAGGAAGCTCTTATTGTAAGAAACACACTTATGTTGTTTGATAGAAAACCCTTATGAGCTAGAATCTTTATTCTCTGACTGCAGCACCATCATTTGTATCCGAAACAAGCAGAACATGAGTAAATCTGTCAGATCCCACATGGCTGCTGCTTATTTTTGTACAAAAGAGGTATGTGAAATTTGACTGGTAGCTGAAAATCCAATACCAATTTGGTAACTGTTGAAAGTACTGAGAATGTCTGTTCTTGTCCTCAGAATGCTTTGTTAAGGCACTCCTGGCAATTTAACCTGAGGGGAAACTGGGGCTGGTTTTTTTGAGGGAAGAAGACATAACCTTTGGAAAATAAGAGCTAAACAACACGTTGTATTGATCTGCAAACCAAACTCTCAGCTTCTTTAATCATGAGCATATTCTGGGAGGGAGGGAGCAGAAGAGAGTGTGATTTGGATCTGGGCTTTGACAAAAAGACTTCCCTCCCATGTGGACTCCACATTTCCTTCTATTGAGCTTTTAATAGCCACAAAGAAGGAACCTACGGGTGGTTTATGGGGAGATGCAGTAACATGGCAGGGAGATGTAAGCAACATCTTTCATCATCAGAACTTGGACTAGCAGGCCTTTTCAATAACTGAAATGTCAGAAAAAAGTTCCTAATGAAGTAGAATATTTGTAGCTCAGGGTTGAAATGAGGGGTCCTTGGTGCTTTCTGAGCTTGGTTATTTTCTTGCAGACATTTCATTACCCAAATAAGGTAACATCATCAGTGCTAGTGCTAGAAGAAAGCTTCCACCGCTGAAAACATACACCTTCAAAGCGTCCGTGCATCTTTTATACAGGTGTAGTTGGGATCTTGCCAATTTTCTGCTGATAGAAGAGTGCCTGGGACACATATATAATATGCACGGTCCCATTGGGGACTTATACTAAATCTTTTTTATTTGGCTCCTGTTACGATTCGGTGTTTATCCCCATGGTGCAATCTCCATCCTGCTGAGTAAACCTAACACAAAGACCTTTGCTTTCAGATATATCGACCAGGAACTGTTTGTTCTGTCTAAAGCAGTCAACAAAAGCTCTCTATTTCATCCGTCCCCGGACACCACCATGACAGCTCAATTGCTGCTTCTCCTGCTATTTGTGATTTTGAATCCAGGGGAGCTATTCTTGGTGAGATTCCAGAACATCAAATTTCATATTTCTTTCATTCTATTAGTATTTACACCCAGTCTTCACAAATAAGGTATTTGTCTATATGAGGAGATATAATGGAGACAAAATGGAAAATGTGTGGGGCATGGTCTAGAATCCTGAAGAATGTGATGCAGAGCTGTTTCCTACCCCTGTTTCCTACCCCGGAATATTTCAGATCTATTACTGAGACTTGCGATGTGCTCTCAAGTCTATTGACTCAAGCACAAGATTGGGATTTGTGAGTCTCAGGAGGCTTTTTTCTGTGTATTGTTTTGTAACATGAGATATGCTTCATTGTTATTCGTTTGTCTTGTGGGAGAAAAATATCCATTATTGAAAACAATTGATTTCCTCAGCACTCAAGTAATCTATTGTCCTCAATGGTGTTTGTGGACCATCCTTATATATGTTTATTAATGTTAGGGATCCTGTTTAAAAATGTGTGGAAGCTGTGTGGATTTGTTGCCATATCACCAGGGACAGCTAACAGCACATTCCTATTCCCCTCCTCATGGAAACACCATTTTCTTGAGAGATGGAAGATTTTTAAACATTTGCATTTATATTTTGGACTCCAGAAGTCAAGTAGCACTGCTCATAATTGTTCCCATGGGAGCTTTCATGTTGACTTTTAAAATGGTAACTTCTCCTCCAAAATAAAACCACCCACACAGATACTAAATTCCAAATAAGAATTGGAAAACTTTCACAAGGCTATTTCCTCCTGCACAATGCTTTACTCTTTTGTGAGCTTTTTAAGAGCCATAATAGGTATGCGTGTTTTAAGAGGCATAATAGGTATGTGTGTTTTGCCTTCAGCAGAAGTGATCTCGCTATGCAATTTGAAAAGTAGCAGAAAAAGGGCTCCTGCGGCAAAAAGGCCATTAAGCTTCACATGTGTTCTATATGGGATGGAATTAGATAAGCAGACTGCTCAGTTCAATGTCCGTGCACGTGTTTATGCATATATGTATGAATGGCGGGTGGTGGTTCTGTTTCTTCTCTCCGTAAGTGTCGGTCTTGTGAGGTAGTCCAGACAACAAGCATACCCAGGAGTACTAGTTCTGTCTTTATGGTAAGGTTATGTTAATAGAATCTTGCTGAAAGTATATCTCTTCCCCTTTTGCCTTTATACTCCAAGAAATTAGGGAGCGTCTCTTCTGAGACTTTTGCACGTTCCCATTCTTTTTGCAGACTCAGCAGAAGGAATGAGATCCTGCAACTCCCAAGATCATTCCTTCATACCATTATATTAAGCCATAAGTTATTTTGCTGTCATCCTGTTTGCTTCTTTCCGGCTCTCTTCAGCTGGAGAAAGAAAAAGAGGTTTTATCTAGCAAGAATGGGAAATGTGTAGTTTCTGGCAGTGACATTATCTGCTGGATTCCACTTCCCTGCTACACAGCAGCTTTCTCTAACTGACAGGGATGGAAATTGTACATGTCTATATTACGGAAGGCAGCTGTAAAAACAGCTTACAGAGACAGCTGTTACATATATTCACTTACTACATTAAAATTTACAGACAGCTGTAAGACTTTGTAAGTGGACAATATTTATTTATTTTAAAATTTTATATAGCCGCTCATTTTATAATCAACTCTGGGTGGCTCCCAACAACATAAAAATCATAATAAAACTATAAACAACTATAAAACTAAGCATGTTAAAAACACTGAAAACCTGGCGCCAAGTGATATCGTCTCTTATGCCAGCGCTTCGGGGAAAAGCCAGATCTTCAAAGTTTTATGGAAGGTGGATGTTAGCCGAACTTCTGGGAGAAGGGTATTCCATAGGACAGGGGCTGCCATGGAAAAGGCTTCCTAGCTTCCATCAGATATTTAGTGGAAGGGACTAGCTAGCAATATGCCCACTCTATCTGACCAGTTAGGAAAGATAGTTGTCCTTAGGGAAAGGTGATCCCACAGATAACCTGGCTGGACTAACCTGGACTTTAAAGGTGATGACCAGCACCTTGAATTGCATCCACTAAGTCAGTGCAGTCCAAACAACGTAGATATTACATATATAAAACTAGCAGTCTCCATTGTGTGTGCGCTGCTGCATTCTGAACCAGTTGCAGTTTCTAAGTGGTTGCTTGCTTGTCTTAAAATAAAAGGATGCTACAAATGAATTGTAAAATACAGGTAGTTCTCACTTACCGACTGCAATTGGGACCTGCAGCTCCATTGCTAAATGACACGGGTATTAAATGAAACCTCCCATGATCATATTCAACGTATTACATTGATAAGTACATTTATATTTTATTCTCTCTATGGTTACATCAAAGTTTTCTTTTTTCCATATTCTACCTTTCTAATCAACACATCCATAAATCATCAGTTCATTTTTTAAATTTTTTAAACAAAAAGTCCATTAGGGATTTCCAGTCACTAATAAATGCAGTAGTTGATCTTTCTCTAAGCAAATGAGTTAATTTTGCCATCTCCACTAATTCTATCATCTTCACCAACCATTCCTCCATTTAAGGAAGAATCTTTCCATTTTTGCACATACAGTGGTCTCATAGCAATGGTCATATATAAAAATAATCTTCCTTGGCTTTTTTCAAGTTGGCTGACCATTAATCCCAACAAAAATGTTCTGCTTCCAGTTAAATCTTATTCTTTGGAATTCTTTATATCACTGTATATCATCTGAACTCAAAATTTGTATGTTTTTTTACAAGTCCATCAAGCATGATAAAATGACCCCTTATGTCGTCCACATTTCCAACATAAATTGCTGGTTTTCCTATTGGGAAGGTCACAAATCATGACTATGGGATGTTATGACTGTCATAAATATGTGCTGGTTGTAAAACACCCTCCCTGTGATTATGTAACCATGGGGACACTGCAGTAATTGTAAATTCAAGGACCAATTGTAAGCATACTTTTCAGTGCTGTCATAATTTTCAACAGTTACTGAACTGAGGATTACCTGCAAGTTAGAAGAAATACTAAACAAAAACGTCAAATAATGTGGGATGTTTAATAAAAAACTGATAGCTTGTAGAAAGGGACAGGAGAGAAAATGTGTAAATACTTTATACTGCTTTTCTTACAAATAAAGTGGACAGCTTTTCAAGATAGATCTTACTGAAACCACGGATGATCTCTTTGTTCCTTTCCTAGTTCAGTGTAAGGCTCTTAGCATCTTTCAAGGTGTTTTGTTATCCTGGAAAGAATGGAAAGTTGCTTTGCACAGAATGTAAATCAAGTTTTGTAAGGTTGCTGTGACACGGCCATTTGCTTTTTTGGCAGGGTGTAATTGGTAAGCCCCAGAAGGCGAAACATGAATGTGAGTATGGCTATCCTAGTCTATAACATGTCTGAAAGTTGGACATGACGGAAGAGGGAGGGGAGGGGGAGCGGAAGGGAGGGAGGGAGGGGGGGAGGGAGAGAGGGAGGGAGAGAGATTTGTGTCAGTCAAAGAAAGAGAACAATCCTACCAAGTTCAAGCTTGGAGCTTCTGACTCCCTTCAGCTCAGCATAAAAGTGGGAGTTTCCCCAAAAACGTTTTCTTGAGGGCTGCACCACATCTTTCACTGTTGGATCACTACAACACCATGAGCAACACCAAGAAATTGGATCTTGCCTCCATCATCTCCCCATTAGAGTTGCTTGGAAATCAGGACAGCTAAAGCAAGAGTTGTGGCTAGGCCACATTTAATAGGAATAGAAGAAGGGGGCAAAGAGGGTGGGGCAGGAAGCAGGCCAATGTGCTGATATACCGGTAGCAGCCCAAAGTATCAGGAATAAGGCTGGGTTGCTTCTACTATCTCCCCACCATCACCACCACATTAGCACTTAAGAAATGCAACAATCTTTCACCAGGGAAAGATGTAAGGGAGTGGAAGCCTCATTACAGGATTGTTGCCTGTGTTTTTGAAAGAGCTGACTGTTTATGACTTCCTGCAAGCAGAGACCAAGTGGGGGCATTTTTGAAAATGGGAGAAGAAGGATCACTATTTATAGGTAAAGGAGGGATGGGGGGGTGTTATAAAAAGGTAAAAGGTTGGTGCTGGGAAAAGAATAACCTGCTGGTACTTTCTCTATGTCTCTCTGTCATTTGTATTATTCATTCATCCATCCATCATCCATCCATCCACCTATCTGAACTTGTGAAATAATTGGCAGGAGATGGGATGGGGAGGGGAGATAATAAATGATCAAAATATTTTTAAAAAGAGCAAATGAATGATGCAGTTATTAAAGTGAGGGTTCTAGACTCCAAATCATGTTCGCTTCTGCAGTCTACAATTTCATGTTTTCTGCTCTTTCTGGCAGTCATTCTCAAAAGTCATTCTCATCCAACAAACTCATTTCTCATTGGCTGCTCGGATTTGCTCTTTACTAATTTTTATCCTATAATTTTGGGGTAATTTCTACTAAATTGAGGTCTCCGCCCCACCATTTGCCATGCTTCTATTATATGTATGGATTGTACTACTTGGGTTGGCCCTTAAGTCAATTTTGCTGTGGATGCCTTTTGAGATCTGTTGTTGAGAAAATGCGATGCCCTTTCAGCAATTATGTTCAATGGAACTTGAATTCTATGAAATACAAGTTGTCCTCAACTTACAACAGTTCATTTAGTGACCATTCAAAGTTACAATGGCGCTGAAAAAGGTGACTTATGACCATTTTTCACACTTACAACCGTTGCAGTATCCCATAGTCACATGATCAAAATTCGGATGCTTGGCAACTGATTCATTATTTATGACGGTTGCAGTGCCCCAGTGTCATATGATCCCCTTTTGCGACCGTCTGACAAGTCAAGTCAATGGGGAAGCCAGATTCACTTAACAATTATGTTATTAAGTTGACATCTGCAATGATTCCAGTGGTGGGTTGCCCCCGGTTCACACCGGTTCTATAGAACCAGTAGTAAAACCGGTGGGAGGCTCCGCCCACCAACCCCGACGTCATCAAAATGCTTCTGCGCATGCCCAGAAGAGAGCACGCGCACACAAGCAAAGCGAGCACGTGTGTGTAGCCCCGCTGCGAACCGGTAGCAAAGGTAAGTAGAACCCATCCCTGAATGATTTACTTAACAACTGTGGCACAAAAGGTCATAAAATGAGGCAAAATTCACTTAACAAATATTTCACTTAGCAACAAAATTTTGGGGCTCAATTGTAGTCGTAAGCCGAGGGCTACCTGTAATAATTGCATAAAAAGACTTTGTCCTCTTCATATAATTGGAAGGTACATAGATATGAAGGGAAGCTAGATAGCCCTGTCACATCACTAGCAGAAATAGGATAGCTATAGGGCAGCCTTTTAGCACAAGAAATAGACCCATCTCCCTTTGCTTTGCAGTGACATCATCCAGTGAGGAATCCTGTCATTTCCCGTTCCGTTACCAACGCAAAATGCACTATTCCTGTCTTCCTGGTGGCTTTCTTAAATCTCAGCGCTGGTAAGTATTGATTAGTCAGAAAAGTGTCGATTGCTCACAGGAATAATGAGAACTCGGGAACATGCAGGGAGCAGAGAAGAGGACACTTTGAGGCTTGATTGGCCTTAAACAAAAAAAAAAAAGAAGTCACAATGTGCAAATTGTGGCATTGGCCCATCTTCCCTGAACACCTTGTATGAGACGAGACTCTTCCCTATCAGGTGCGCCACCACAGAAAACTATGACGGAGACCAACAATGGAAGTTTTGTCAGAAAGAGGAAAGGCCAACAGGTGAGTCAGTGGTATTTATTTACTTGTTTAAGCCTGTGTATTATGGTCCAAACAAAGGATTTTTTTCAGGGGCAGCATTCCCTGTGAATGTATCTTACGTGAAACCGTATTTCTGATGTGGCTGCAATCCACGGTGTCAAATTTTACGCCCATGCTTTATTGTGGTTTTTACACAGTCAAATATTAGCTGTATCTATCCAAGGATGATAGTTTATACTCCATGGTCATCTCTTTTCAGGGTACTGTGATCCTAACCCCTGCCAGAATGGGGGTGCATGCGAAGCTAGGAAAGCTGGATTCCACTGCACCTGCACAGCTGGTTTCCATGGGAGACGCTGTGAGAAAGGTATGATTCTGGAGCTATAGCCCTGTCCCAGTGGTGAAATGTAAAATTTGTTACTTACGGTTCTGTGGGCGTGGCTTGGTGGTGGGGCGTGGCCAACTTTTTTTTTTTTTTTTACTTTTAAAGCCATTTTTTCTACAACCTCTTTGGCTGAAGAGGTTGTAAAAAAAAATGCTTTTAAAAGCCTCTGATGATCCCGCAGGACAGCTGGGATCATCAGAGGCTTTTAAAAGCATTTTTTCTACAACCTCTTCGGCCAAAGAGGTTATAGAAAAAATGCTTTTAAAAGCCTCTGATGATCCCAGCTGAGCTGCACAATCATCAGAGGCTTTTTTTTTTACTTTTAAAAGCATTTTTTCGGCCAAAGAGGTTGTAGAAAAAATGCTTTTAAAAATAAAAAAAAAGCCTCTGATGATTGTGCGGCTCAGCTGGGCAATTGGGGTGGGGAAGGGATTTTTGCTACTGGTTCTCCGAACCACCCACCTCCATCGTTACCGGATTGGGCGATCCAGACCAAACCGGGAGCATTTCACCCCTGCCCTGTCCCCTTCCTGTCAGGTATAGAGGTCTTTGCACAGGGTCAATGTAAGGTCAATGTAAGATCATGCTTTTCCTTCCTGGAGTCTACAGGAGCCTATGGCGTTTCAAATTCATTGACTGATGATAGCCATAACTCCCTCTTAGAAAGAATTCCTGGATTTCATACTGTCATATTTTTCTTCCTGGCAGAATAGAGGGTCCAAAAGAAAAGAAAAAGAATTTTATGATGTAGTAATGGGGTTAATGATAGGGACACAGGGGCTAAGATGCTGAGCTTGTCGATTGAAAAGTCTGCAGTTCAGCGGTTCGAATCCCTAGTGCCACGTAATGGGGTGAGTTCCCGTTACTTGTTCCAGCTTCTGCCAACCTAGCTGTTCGAAAGCACGTAAAAAATGCAAGTAGAAAAATAGGGACCACCTTTGGTGGGAAGGTAACAGCGTTCCATGCGCCTTTGAAGTTTAGTCATGCCGACCACATGACCACGGAGACGTCTTCGGACAGCGCTGGCTCTTCGGCTTTGAGAGCCGGAGATGAGCACCGCCCCCTAGAGTCGGGAATGACTAGCACATATGTGCGAGGGGAAGCTTTATCTTTACCTAATGGGGTTTTAAGAAGCCAGACAACCTTTAAAGTCTTCCATATTCTAATGAGGCCATAGGCTTCCTCTGAACTGTAGGGTAGGGAGGGATGGGCTGTTTTTGTAAATCTCTCTGATGATCAGGCAGAATTGCTGAAGGTTAATATGAGTTGAGTCCAGTTTCACCCCGTGGCTTGACTTCACAGAAGGCTGCTTTGGATCACAAAGACGGTTGCATGTTGGCAAGAAGGAAACATGGCTGCAACATTTTCCTTTTACTGGACTGAAGGAATGCCACTGTAACAGAAAGAACATTCTCTGCAGGACAGTGCATGGAAAAGGTCAGAAGGCAGATGCAAGTTATGAACCAATTATGTTGAAATAAAGGGGAGAAATCTCTCCATTGAATGTTGCTCAAAGTATAAGCTTCACTTTCTAATGAAGTAGGATCACATAAAGACTTGAATAAAGTAAGGATTACATTTTTCACTGAGATTCAAATAGTAAGCAATACCAAAACTAATAGTTTTAATAGTAGCTGGTAGCATCTAACTGATTTTGGCTGATCTTAAAAAGGTAAGTAGGATTAGGCCTAGTTATTATTTGAGTGGAAGACCAGTAAGCAACCCTACGGCTATTGGCTAGACTGGGAAGTTGAAAAAAGATCAAATTTCAAACTAAAATTAGTCCCAGAAAACAAGCTTGATTTGAAGAAGTTTTATCTTTTTCATGTATCAAGTCAGATGGCACCATTACATTGACCACTAGAAGGCACCCTATGGCCAATTTTGTCTATTATTGGAACTCCTCAGACATGAGTAGCCCGATATTATTCTACCTATATTTGATGAGGCCCAAATGGGTGATACTGATTACATGGTCCTTCCTGGTGGTCAATGTAACTGAAAATTCCACATAGGATATACTCTGTATCCATGCAAGAAGCCATGTAAAACCTCATACATGAGGACATGACGTAATATATTTGTATCAGTCTGCTGTGAGAGCTTAAGGGAAGGTGGACTGTATATATCAGTGTTTCTCAACCTTGGCAACTTTAAGACAGGTGGACTTCAACTCTTAGTATTACTCAGCCAGCAATTCTAGGAGTTGAAATCCACCTATTGTCAGCATTCCAGAAAACCCCCAACTCCCAGTAAAAATGTGGAAGCAGGCATTTTCCAAAGTTCCTTTTACTAGAATAGGTATACTGGCACATGTGGGAAATCCCGAATCTGAAAAGCCCGGGCTTTCCTTCAGTAATACAAAGCTCCCAAAACCACCCCCTTTCTCCTCAATCAATCACATGCTCCAATCACCGTCCATTCCACCTCGACCCAGCACCTGACCCTCCTCCTCCAGATGCTGGATCACCCTGACCTTGACCAATAGGAAGAATGCTATTAAGTCTACTAATTCCCCTCTCCTAAATCCCCCCTCCTACTTTCCCACACATGAGGAGGTGGCAGCATTGAAGCTTCTGGCCTAATATGGCTTCCGAGGCTGACACCTGTTTTATAGAGGCAAAGATTGAAATGTACAGGTATATACTATTATAATAGAAGTCATTGCTCTATCATGTGTGTGTATCTTTCGAAAAATCCCAGAGGGTACTGGATTTTTTTAAGAAAAAAATATTTGGGGCTTCATTGATCTAGAGATGTTTACGTGAGAATGTTCTTACCCCTTTCAGTAGCCACCATCACTTCTCATCCTCTTCTTGAAAAAGTCTTTTTCTTTAAATTCATTAATGAGGAATTCATAGAAGAGGAGTCCTGCTGGATCAGGCTACTAGGATGCATTTGAGACGCTCACCAGCCTGGATCAGGTGGACTATAGTTCCCTTCCCCTTTTACTTCTCAGGACCCTATTTAAGGCATCCTGCTGCCTACAACTTGGGAGGTAGTAAACAGCCACCAGTGATATGGCCATTTAGAAGCTGATGTTTCACAAAGCTGTTGAATCCGATTGTTGGCAGTAAATTCTGACAGTAAATTCCGGAAAGCTTAACTGTGCTATATAAAATATTTCCTTCTGTCATTCCTGAATAACTTTGACAAGACAGGGTGATAACTTTCCCTCTCACAATATGATTTCTGCCAAGCATGGATTTACTTAGTGTACCACTTCGCTCCTTGTTCCCTTTCATTCGAAGCTAAAGAGCCCTCCTTGCTGAATCCTTCCTCAGAGGGGAGCTGCTCCAGCCTCCTAGTTGTTTTGATTGCCCAATTTTGCACCTTTCCTACTTCCATGATACAACTCTTAAGGGGTGGGGACTGCATTCCAAGGGTGGTCTCACCATATATTTCCTTGAGGGTACAGTTTTACTGGCGGCCTTAGGTTTGAATCCCTTTGTAATATTCCAGGCATAGAATCTGCACTCTGTTTACAGCAGTGGCACACATTAAAAGACTGCTGTAATTTGTGCATTTGTTTGCAATGTGTACTTAGGCCCCAGTATTACAATAATGCTAATTATAGATCATGTTTGCACAACATTATTGAATAAACTGATTTTCTTGGTTTATACAATATATCGAATTGTGAGAGCCAGTTTGGTCTAGTGGTTAAAGTTCCAGACTAGAAACTAGGAGACCGGGTGTTCTGATCTCACCTTCAGCATGAAAGCCAGCTAGGTGACTTTGAGCCAGTTTCTCTCTCTCTCTCTCTCTCTCTCTCTCTCTCTCTCTCTCTGTGTGTGTGTGTGTGTGCATGATGTCAGCTCGGGCAACAAACTGGTCAGTCAGGGCTGCCTGCATATTAGGCAGTTGTATTAACCTCTGAGCCACAAGTTCTCCTCCCTTCACCAGTTTGAGCCAGGGGAAAGATTAAGTGTTTTTCTATCGAGACACCTGGTCTATCCCAACATATGGGAGGGGGCATTCTGCTCCCTTTCGCCTTTCAGCTCCAAGCCAGGAGCTGAAAGGCGAAAGGGAAGCATAATGCTCCCTCCCACATGTTGGGGTAGACCAGGTGCCTCAATAGAAAAACATTGTATGTATGTATGTATGTATGTATGTATGTATGTATGTATGTATGTATATCTTCAACATAAGTATGTTCCCCTGGAGGTTCTCCACCACTTCAGTTTAATTTTCTCCTTTTTTCCCTGTGTAAGTGGGCAACATGAGAGAAAGCCACCCATTAAATAATTTTGGAAGAAAGCCTCTAAATGTCTAGGTGGGCCAATGACATATTGGAAGTTCAAAGTGTTGCCTTGCTCTATAATGCTAGTTTCCCCCAGTTTTTAAAATAATATTATTTTTATTATTTTTATTATTTTAATATAAAAGAAAAAGTAATGAAATAAAATAAATCAGATCAGGAGTGGTAGGGGTCCTGGGAGGCCTCAAGAAAGGCAGGCTTGTTGGAAATCCAGGTGCTAAGTCAACACGAGCTACCAAATGTGAGGCCTACCATTGTTTGAGCTGGCATGACAGCTTCTTCTGTATCTTTCTCTATTGGGACCCACAGCTTGCAGAAGCAACCCCTGTCTGAATGGAGGTCAGTGCACACAGCTGGGTCAGAACTTGGTCTGCAGCTGCCCTGAAAATTTTTCTGGACCACTGTGTGACATAGGTATGTTTACAGTCTTATTTTTCATATATCCATCTTCCCAGCACTAAAGCTGTGCTAGAGAAAGGGCCAAAAAACCCAAAAACAAATTGGCAGATATGTCATATGCCAGCATAAAAGAAAAGAAAATAACAAAGGTGAAATTATGAGCCCACTGAGAAAAAATAAAATTGTTATATTTCTGTCTTGGTTTTGGCTTCTGTATAAAATATCCAGTCAATGCAATTATATTTTATAGTTTCCTAGGCTGATGTTATGGACAGATGGGCTTCCAGTGCTGGATGTATGATAAAGTCAAAGAAACTTTTGAGTTGTGGGCTTTGAGTTATGAAAGCGTGTTGTGCCCAATAAATGTAAAAGAAGAGGGGCAGAACTGATTAGGACGATCCATGTAATAGAAACATTCAAAACGAGGGCCAACTTTATTCCTCTGGCCCAGCATTAACATCCACTTTCTGTAAAGCTGTTTCAAAGAACAGAAAAATCAAGTGCCAGCACTATTAGCAGGCAGCAGAATGATTGCCTCAAATGGGGAAGGCTGGCAGTTGGTCATATAAAATGTTGACAAGGAAGAAAACAGAGGCATTTGTTCTACCCAACTGCTGTGGCCTAGAGGTAGAGCTCTTGCCTCACAATCAGGAGGTTGTGAGTTCGATCCTAGGTAGAGACAGATGTAGGGTCTCCTGCTTGGGCCCTCGGGCCTTCAAGGTCCCTTCCAACTCTGTTAATCTATTAAATTCCATATTCCTGATCAGGTAGTACCTATTTACTGATTTAACTGCCAGTCAGACTCTGTATGTGGGCCATCACTTCAAGCCAGGGGCATTGTGTGTGTGTGGGGATTATTAAGAAAATCAAGGTCACAATCTTGGCCATCATCTTGACTTATTTGAGCCCTCCTTGTGGGTTCTCCTCTCTCAAGTAACAAAATATGCCCCCTGTATGTAACCCAGAAGATGGAGAACATTCTGAAATCATGGTAAGGAGTCAGATTCCTAACATTTTTCTTCAACATTTTACAATCCATCTCTGATCTCTTCATGCCCTAGATCACACTGAAATCTGCTACAGTGGGAATGGGCACCTATACCGAGGCATGGCTCAGAGTAGTTCCTCAGGGGCACCTTGCTTACCCTGGGACTCCCCGATCCTGCTTATGGAGTATTCCATCAAACTCAGGAATGCAGTAAGCCTGGGCCTAGGGGAACATGCCTTCTGCAGGTGAGACCAAGTTTTAGGGTGGACCTTTCCCCACTGGTGAGTTGAAGGATTATCCGCCTACCCTTGAGTTGTCATAAGACGATATTACCCCACTGCCAATCTTCTATTAGGTCTGTTTCAAGTCACTGCACCCACTTCACTGCCCTCTAAGGGTGACCAAGCCAAACAGAGTGTACATATTCTGAGGCCATCCTTGAAAGGTGTCAGAATAAGGAGGGAAATACTTCTAGAGTAAGTCAGCTAAGGATGACCTAAGGCAGTCTCATCAATGAAATTGAGACTAGTTGAAGGGAACTTCATTGGAGCACAAGAAAAAAAACGACATTGATGGGAAATGATGTATGCAGTAGTTAGAGGTACAAATGGGCAAAGTAGATCCATTTAATGAAAATCAAAGAAAGAGACAATATATTGTAAGCTGCCCAGAGCTCCCGTGTGGTAAGATGTGCAGCTGATAAATTTGATAAAAGGGTTGAAAAAGGAAAGTATCCAGGGATGTAGAAAGTCCAACTGCTCCTAAGCAGTAGAACAGATTAAAGAAAATTTCAATGAAATTGTAAGAAAGGGAACACTATATTGTAAAGGAATGTTAGTCTAACCTGAAAAATCCTAAACATTTTCTTCGGGCAGAAATCCAGATAACGACACCCAGCCATGGTGTTTCTTGCTACAAGACAGAAGAATCACCTGGGAGTACTGTAACATTACCCGCTGTTACCCCCAAAGTGCTGGTAAGACACATCATTCTCTCTGAAAGAGCTGAGTATGGCTGAACCCCATAAGTCAATGAGTCGGGTGTGTTATATTGTATAGCTGAGGCAAGGACGAGGCGACTGAGGCATGAGTTAACGTTATTTATTAACAGGAACCAACAGCAACCGTAACGTAACAGAACTGCTTGTCTGCAGATGACAGCTCTTTTATACTCCGAGCTGTCAGCTAACTACCCAATCAGAACAGTCAGAACTCCCGCTTGTTTTTAGCCACTCCCCCTAGCCAATCCCTAGTCAGCGTTCTTGTTGTCAAGCCTCGGCAAATCACAACACTCCTTCACCCCTGGATGGAACATACGTAGTCTTTTAGATATTCCGGGCGTTTACGCACTCGTGTCGATTGTCTCAGTGCAGGTGCGGTCGGAGAAGAGGCAGGTTCTGCTCCAGGAGGTGACGCTGCGGATAGCTCCCCCTGGTTGGTGGAAGGTGTGGCCACAGGCGGTAAGTCCCGAGATGCCTTTTGATTTTCTGGCGCGGAGGGTGGCTGGTCGGCAGCTGGAACTGGCAGGGGAATAGGCTCCTCATAGAAGATTTCCCTGTCCTGGACCATCGGGCGTGTTGTTTGGCGTACCCTCAGTTGGTCCACATGTCGGCGCCACGTTCTGCCATCATTCAACAGTATCCTGTAAGAGCAGGAGCTGGTTACCGTAGTCACTAGTCCTGGTAGCCATCATGGCTCACCCCCGAAGTTCCGTGCGTATACTAAGTTGCCCTCTTTTAGTACCCGAACCATCCCCCCCATTATAACAGTAACCCTCTGGGGCATAGGTGGGGTGTAGACGGTCTAAGACAGTACGTAATCGCCGACCCATTATTACTTCAGCGGGGCTTAGGTGGGTGGTAGGGCAAGGGGTCATGTGTTGGGAGGATAAGTAAATGGCCACCTTTTCTTGGCGGGTGATATCTGGGCGAGCGCCTCTTTGGCCGATATAACGGCCCATTCAGCCAATCTGTTCCCTGCCGGGTGGTAAGGGGCAACCTGGGCATGGCGGATCCCTAACCCTGCTAAGAAGGATTGGAACATGGCGGATGTTAGCTTAGATAGTAGCCGATGAAGGGGTTCAGCTACAGTGGCTTTATGGGGCAGGAACACATTATAACAATTTAACAGCCCCAGGAAAGATTGTAACTCCACACGGGAGGTAGGTGTGGCTGCGTGTTTGATTGCAGCCACCTTGGCTGGAGTGGGATGGATTCCGCTAGTATCGATGAGGTAACCAAGGAATTCAATTTGGGTAACGCCAATTTCACATTTGAGGCCAGCTTCACGGAAGCGTAGAAGGACAGCCCTAACTCACTCGATGAGCTCACTCCAACACGATACAGAGATAAGCACATCGTCGAAGTAGGGGACCATGCCTGTCAGGCCATGGAGCAACCTCTCCATAAGATTCTGAAACAGGCCTGGGGCCACGCTCACCCCAAACTGCAATCGCCGACATTTAAATGCACCCCGGTGGGTTACGATGGTCTGAGCCTCAGCTGAGGCATCATCCACCGGGAGCTGCTGGTATGCTTGGGCCAAATCCAATCTGGCGAAGATAGAGCCTGGCCCAAGGGAATGAAGCAGATGTTGGACTACAGGGACAGGGTAGGGATTTGCCTGTAAGGCCCTATTTAGGGTACACTTAAAATCGGCGCAGATGCGCACAGAGCCATCGGGCTTGATGGGAACAACTATAGGGGTCTCCCACTTTGAATGGTCAGTTGGTTCTAGGACCCCCTGGGAGATGAGCTTGTCCAGCTCCACGTCCACCCTTGGCCTGAGCGCAAAAGGGACTCTGTGGGGTTTGAGCCGGATTGGGGCTACCTTCGGATCTAGGTTGAGAGAAATGGGGGAACCCACTTATTTCCCTACGGTGCCATCGAAAACGTCAGCAAACTCATCCAACAGGCCATCAAACCCCTCCACCGACATAGAGTGAATACCAGATATCCTCAATCCTAAAGAGCTAAACCAATCCATTCCTAATACACTAGGAAGGAACCCCTTAACTACGATCAAGGGAAGGCGCCCCACAAATCCCTCCATTTCTACAAGAAAACGACCCTGCCCCAGGATTGGAATAAAATTGCCCTGATAGTCCCGCAGATTGATTGGGCATGGTTGCAGCTGGCTCTTTCGCAGAGTTGGTATAAGTTTTTTCAACACTCCCCAGGAAACGATGGACTTAGCAGACCCCGTGTCCACTTCCATGGGGCAGGAGGCGCCTTCAATTTTCACTGTCATGGAAAGTTTAGCGCTCTCTGGTTTAACTGGACAAGCGGTCACCTCAGTAATCCTGCAGTCACGAGAGATGGAAAAGCAGTCCTCTTTCGTGGGGCGGCGAAGTTTCCGAGCAGCAAATGACTTTGCCAGCGACCGGCAGATCCTAGCAATGTGGCCCTGTTTCCCACAGCGACGGCAAATTGCCAACCTGAAACGACAGGTCTCCCTCGGGTGTTCTTCCCCACAACTGAGGCAACAGTTTGGAGGGCGCCTCTTCAGCCATGGTCCTTTTCCTCGGGGTTTCGATGACTGAAGGCGGCTGATCTCCGCCTCCCCTTCCTCATCCGTAGCACTGTCAGAGGCAATGTCCTGCAAATTAACAGTGGTAGTCGCCCCCCTGGAGGGTAGAACTTTCTAATGTCCGTGGTGGATTTATTGGACATCTCTGCTGCTTGGGCTTCTTCAAGAGCGGTCTGCAGATCAAGGGTCTTTTTAGCTAGCAGCCGCCTCTGCAGTCTAATGTCTCTGACCCTACATACTAGCTGCTCCACCAAAGCATCATCTAAGTCCCTGTACTCGCAGTCTAGAGCAGCGGTTCTCAGCCTAGCCATGTAATGGTTTACTGACTCCCCTTCCTCCTATAAAACTTGTCACAACTTAAAATGATGGGCTATCCAGGAAGGGGCCGGGGAGTAGTGGCCCTTAAGCTTCTCACGCAACAGGTCCCAGGAGACTGTATGTACTAGGACAGGAGCGAACAATGCCCGAGCAGTTGCGAACACCTCAGGGCCGCAAGAGTTAAGGAAATGGGCCCTATTTTTGTTGCTGGAAAGGTCAGTAAAATCATTTGCCTCCAAGAAGCATTCAAACCTTTCCATGTAGGCATCCCAAGACTCTGATCGTGCGTCGAAAGAAGCGAACGTAGGCAGCGTCATTCTTCTGTCCTATTTCTCAGCCAAATATCTCGTCGCCAGTGTTATATTGTATAGCTGAGGCAAGGACGAGGTGACTGAGGCATGAGTTAACGTTATTTATTAACAGGAACCAACAGCAACCGTAACGTAACAGAACTGCTTGTCTGTAGATGACAGCTCTTTTATACTCCGAGATGTCAGCTAACTACCCAATCAGAACAGTCAGAACTCCCGCTTGTTTTTAGCCACTCCCCCTAGCCAATCCCTAGTCAACGTTCTTGTTGTCAAGCCTTGGCGAATCACAACAGGGTGGTTTTTCACACAGGTGAACTGATAACAAAAGCAACAGGAGCACCTCTGGAAGAGATGACCACGAGCCATGTGATTAGCAAACCCAAGTCTGCCACTAGCTCAGCTCCCGTTTGTGGACAACGCTATACAAAAGTTGTTTCCTCACGCAGCCGTATCGTAGGGGGTATGGTAGCACTTCCTGGTGCCCATCCCTATCTTGCTGCTCTCTACATTGGAGACCAATTCTGTGGAGGAAGCCTCATTGATTCCTGTTGGATCCTGACTGCTGCACATTGTCTGGAATTCAGGCAAGTCTCAATGTCTTTTCCATGCTATGACTATTACTCACCTGTTAGGAACTTTGGAATTTCAGCAGGATCTTATTTATGATCTTGGTGACTAACCAAACCTGCAGTATAATAGCAAAGATAGACTGCCACAAGTTGTCCTAATTCTAAGTTGTTTAGGATCTACCTGATTCAATAGCTAACAGGCGGCCATGAACTTATTTTAGTTTTAGTGTAACTCCTGCACAGCTCTGCACAGCTAGATGTCCTATTTACAACCTAGCTATCACATTCTACCTCAGCTGCAAGTTCCTGATCAACTGGAAGGACAACCCTGGCATTTAACATATGATAGTTATCTAAGCTTTGGATTACTGTTGTGTAAACAAAAGTAGCTGAGTGTCCCTGCCCCTTGGCCTAAGTAGATGAGGCCATTAGCCTAATTCAAAAGGCCTTGAAGCATTCATTTGAGATCTCTGGCATTACCGATCTTTTCCTTTCTTGATACATTGGGTGGAAAGATTAAAGGGAATATCTGCCCCCACTTTTAGCTTTGGCCCTGCTGATTTCCCCCTCCCTCAAAAGACTGTCTAATTCTGCTCCAGAGAAGTTTTCCATAACATGCTGCTCTCAAGATGTTGGAATCATGGGGTTTCTAATTAACACATCATACATTGTTAAAGGCTCCTTTAGAGAATCTAGTTCTCACCTCAAAAATTTCTGCTGATCATACATTTTGTGCTGTAGGCCAGATGTGTCTAGAATTTCAGTGGTGCTTGGCCAGATCTTCTACAACACCAGCACTGAAGGCACTGTGAAGTTCCAGGTACAGAAGTATCAACTGCATGAGAATTATTCACAAATAACTAAGGAGCATGACATTGGTGAGGACCTCTTCTTTTAAATCCAGCCCTCAAGGGTTACAAATATCTATTTCATCCACACTCTCCAGCTTTGGAAATGAACATGTCTTAGCTTCCAGTGTCTCCCAGATTCAGTACAAGTTCATCTTAGATTGTCAGATGAAGTACAAGTTACAAGTTCATCTTAGATTGTCCACAGAGTGTTCATTGCATATCTCAGTTTCCGTCAAGGGCAAGCAGCTTTCAGAAGCAATTCAAACCTAGTGGATGGATGATGAACCGATGGAATTATTTTGACTATGGTAGCTGGGTATGATCAGAGTGATAATCATTATCTAGAATGGCACAGTTTTATTGTTGGACTCTAATCCATGCACTGTAGCTCTAGCATGCTATAGTAAAAATAATGCTGGGTTTTGCAGAACTCGTCGTATGCTTCTTGATGAAAGAATCTTATTTTGGTCTAAGTCTCCATGCCTTCAGCCATACTCCATTAGGAGCAAGACTAGCCTTTTTACTCTTTCATTCAGTCTGCCTGCTTCCTAAAATCTTCATATTTTAGCCCTAATTCAGTTTTGGCCTGTTATCCCCAGCTTTGGTGCAACTGAAGGAAAAGTCCCCAGGACATTGTATTGGATTTTCAAACTCCATTTCACCTATATGTCTGCCTGGTTCCTTGGAGACAGCTGACAGCAATGGACACTGCCAAATTGCAGGATGGGGACATATGTATGAAGGTAAGGAGGCAATGCTAAACAAATAACAGATAAGCTAGAGGGGTGGCCTGATTGGCTGACCATCATTCTATATCAAGCTTCATCCATTCATTAACTTTGTTAGGGGAAAATTATGTTTTCTCATTTTGTCTCCAGACCCTTATAACCTGCTTGATGAGCCTATGTAACCCAATATTATGTTCCCAGATGCAGAGCCAGATAAAATGGCACAGGAGAACACAAGGGCCATAGCCTTCTTATGCTCGAGTTTTCCAGTAATTGGCATCCAGATGCAACTTGCTTTTGATTTAATATTAGAGAAGGCATGTAGCCATTACTTTTATGGAAGCAGAACAAGATAGGGCTTACAGAATGCAATTTACAGAATGATTTTTCCAATCTTAAACTATACCAGTACAATGACTCATTGAAACTTGTTGGTCTTCTGCTGAGATATTTGCTTTCAGGTCTAGCACGCAATGTCCTTAAAACAGTTTTCCACTCTGATACTCCCTAGAAAACAAGTCCAATTTTGCTGTTTAACAAGTGTAGGAATACTAGATTGACACATCTAGAGAACACGATGTCAAAAAAAGGTGCTTTAAAAAGCAGCAGTCATTTCATTTACTGTCTGGTTAGTAAAAACATTTCCTGGAGAACTAAACTAAATTCTTCCTTACAAGAGCAGTGGTTTGAGTATTGAAATGTATGATACTCAAACACCACACCATCCACATAATGATATGTATAAATTAAAAAAAACAATAAAAACTTGATGGGAAAAAAAAGAGCAGTGGTTTGAGGCTGTCAGCAGTCATATATTTTTGCAATGGCCATATGGTACAGTAAATGAAGTTGGTAGGGCCGAGCTGACTTAAAGGGGGTCATTTTTCCCCCCAGTGATGGATCCTGATACCCAACACTCTCTAGGAGAACCTCCATGCAGTGGTGTTTTCATTTTTCAGTTTTCTCTGAGTGTTTTCACGTGTTTTGTTTTGATTGCTTTCATTCCTGGAGACTTCAGAATTCCGAGAACAGGCTGAGAATACCAAGAGCCAAACAGTTCTCTTTTTTATTTCGTCAAGCATGTATTTTATGACAGATACAAGTATAAACATAATTATAAATACATGAAAAGGATACAAATAAAAGAAAACATTAGGACAGGGATGGTAGGCATGCTGGTGCGCTTATGCACGCCCCTTACAGACCTCTTAGGAATGGGGTGAGGTCTATAGTAGACAGTCTAAGGTTAAAGTTTTGGGGATTTGGGGAAGAAACCACAGAGTCAGGTAGTGCATTCCAGGTGTTGACAACTCTGTTACTGAAGTCGTATTTTCTTCAGTCTACTTTGGATCTGTTTACCATGAGTTTGTATCTATTGTGTGCTCTTGTATTGTTTTGGTTGAAGCTGAAGTATTCATTGGCTAGTAGGACATTGTAGCAAATGATTTTATGTACTATGCTTAGGTCAGACTGAAGACGGCAAAGTTCTAAGTTGTCTAAGCCCAAAATTTCAAGTCTGGTGGCATAAGGTATTTTGTTGCGAGCAGAGGAGTGGAGGACTCTTCTTGCGAAATATTTCTGGACTCATTCAATTGTATCAATGTCCGATATGCAGTGCAGGTTCCAGACAGATGAGCTGTATTCAGGAATTGGTCTGGCAAAAGTTTTGTATGCCCTAGTTTGCAGTTCAATATTACCAGAGAAGAAGCTACACAAAATTAGGTTAACAACTCTTAATGCTTTTCTTATTAACCAATAGAAAAAAAGCAAAAATCATCCTTCCGTCAATGCCTCACCTTCTCTCTAGTTCCTGGAGTAAAAAAATTCCCCCCTTGTCCGTGTTCTCTGTAGAAGGGAAAAAGAATAGCATCTATCTCTTCCCAGTCTCCCTGTTTCAGTTTTCATGCTGTCTGAGCAATTTGCAAACCTGACCTATGGGTGTGAAGAAAAAAATAGTCTGGCCCCCCTTCCTTCTCTTCTAGATAGATTTAAATTGAAAACTGTGATGATGGCATACTGCAAATTTGCACCCAGGTGTTTTCCTTAGCAGCTTCATCCATGAGTAGAGGTTTCACTGAAGAGACTCTGTATATGTGTACGTGGGTGTTTCAGAAAGAACAATGGTTCATTTGAGCCCAGAAGCTGCAAGGCACGGTGAGACAGGACTTCAGTGCATCCTGTTTAAAGAAGCAAGGAATGTCAAGCTGGATCATTTTTACAGAAAGTGTGAAGGAAAAACCTGACTAGAGAATTAGGACTGAACTTGCTAAAATATTGCTTATGAAACCTACCAGAGAGCTCTGAGGCCACGGGAGCTAGTGAGGCAAGATGTCTGGTGAACGGCAAAACAGCCCAACTCCTACAGTGCTGCAAATAGAAAAAGAGAAGATTTGCCCTTTGAGCTGCATTGCAGCCAAACTAGAAGAAAAGGGGCTGATCAAGGGGAACAACTTTGTGGAACACAAATATGTGGGTCCAGTACCAAAACTGAGTAAAGGCTACCAGTATGTGTGAGAGATCCTGACAAAAACTGGAGCAAGATCTTGTGTGTGTCAATGTGCTTCTTTCTTTGGCTTCCTCTTTAGGAGCTGACAAACTCTCTGTATATCTGCAGGAGGCAGATGTGCCCATCATTCCCCATGAGCAGTGCCGTTCCCCAGAGGTACATGGGTCCCAGATTACCCAACACATGCTATGTGCAGGGTATCTGGAAGGAAGAATCGATGCATGCCAGGTAAACCGATTCGAAGTAAAGCCAGCTTGCAGGGGAGAATTCTGAAAGTCTAGCCTTTGGGGCAGTGGTGGAATTCAAAATTTTTTTACTACCAGTTCTGTGGGCCTGGCTTGATGGGCGTGGCTTGGTGGGCATGGCAGGGGAAGGATACTGCAAAATCTCCATTCCCACCGCACTCCAGGGGAAAGATGGCTGTGGCCAGGGGGGCTTTTTATCAGGTTCACCTGATCCACCAGTTGCATCCCTTTCTGGACCAGGACGCCTTGCGCATGGTCACTCACACCCTCATCACTTCCCGTCTGGACTACTGTAATGCTCTCTACATGGGGCTCCCCTTGAAGAGCACCCGGAGGCTCCAGCTGGTCCAGAATGCGGCCACACGGGTGATTATGGGGGCGACTCGATGCTCCCATGTAATACCGTTCCTGTGCGAGCTGCACTGGCTCCCGGTGGTCTTCCGGGTGCGATTCAAGGTGTTGGTCGCCACCTTTAAAGCGCTCCATGGCATAGGACCTGGGTACTTACGAGACCGCCTTCTGCCTCCAATAGCCTCCCATCGACCAGTACGCTCCCACAGAGAGGGTCTTCTCAGGGTGCCGTCAGTTAGACAGTGTCGACTTCTCTGTGGGGGCACCTGCCCTCTGGAACGAGCTGCCCCCGGAGATTCGTCGGATTCCCGACCTTCGCACCTTTCGCCGCACTCTTAAAACACTATTATTCCATCAATCAGGGCTGGCCTAAAGTATTATTTTAATGAGTTATTTTATTTTAGATTATTGGCCAAACTATTTAATAATTTTAAATTGTTTTTAACTTTTATATTGTTGGTTTTTATCTTGGCTGTACACTGCCCTGAATCCTTCGGGAGAAGGGCGGTATAAAAATTTAATAAACAAACAAACAAACAAACAAACAAACAAACAAATAAATAAAGATACTGCAAAATCCCCATTCCCTCCCCCCTCCAGGGGAAGGATACTGCAAAATCCCCATTCCCACCCCACTCCAGGGGAAGGATATTGCAAAATCTCCATTCCCACCCCACTCCAGGGGAAGGATACTGCAAAATCCCCATTCCCACCCCACTCTGGGGCCAGCCAGAGGTGATATTTGCCAATTCCCCAAACTATTACAAAATTTCTGGTACCAGTTCTCCAGAACCTGTCAGAACCTGCTGAATAGCATGCCTGTTTTGGGGCAGAACCTGTCAAGTGGGCCAGGAAGGGTGTTTTTTTTGTGAACTTCCCATAGAGTCATACATTTGGAGCCCCTTGTTCAATCTTTGTATCTCAGCTCAATCTCAGCTTGCACCCAGAATGTATGTATTTATTATTTTTACTTATTTATTAAATTTATACGCTGCCCATCTCACGCTTTGAGGTGGAGAGAATAGAATAAAATAGATTTGAAGAAGAAAATGTTCCATATTGTAACCTACATTTCAAAGACAGTCTTTCTGTAGCACTCTCTAGGGCCAATAGGCTACTTTGCACTTCTCTCCAATGTTATTCTTCCTTTTGAAGTTCTCAGCTAAATCCCACCATATCAACAAAATTATACTTTAGAAGTTTGTGGTGATATCAAGAAATGCTTATCCCAATTCAGGTTCTTAATAGCTGCTTCAGACAAAACTTACATATTACAGAGAAGTGAAAAATGGGTCTTTCCCCGTAGTCAATAGAAGTGCTATTCACCTATCTCTGAACTGGCAGAAAACTCTAGAGCAGGAGTGACAAACTGGAATTCTTCAAGGGCCAGATCAGCATTGTAGTTGTTCTCCGTGGGCTGGCTGGGGTTGGGGAGATGGGAGAGACGGGACAGGACGGACACCTCCTGCAGCACTCTGGCAGCCAAAACGGGGCAATGGGGGCTGGGTGTAGACATCCCGCAAACCATTTTTGGCCTGGATGGCCTCCTTCAGCACTTTGCCAGACAAAACAGGGTGCAGGGGATCTGTTTTGGTCAGCAGAGTGCTGCAGGAGGCCATCAAGACAAAAAAAATGGGGTGTGGGGGGCTTATATGCGCCTCCCTCCATGCCCCGGTTTGGCTGCCAGAGGCACTGTGGGCCGGTCTTTTGTTATTTCCAAGCTGGCCCTGTGGGCCAGATTTAGCCACCCCTTGGGCCGGATCTGACTCACAGGCCTTGAGTTTGACACCCGTGCTCTAGAGGCATAAAATCTTCTCTCCTCACTGCTGAATCTTATCCTGAATGTCTTCTTACTGGGTAGTGGCATTCTAATTTTTTCACACTTTCAGGAATGTAGGGTAGGATAAACTATTGGCTTATCCCTCTAGCTTTGTGTTAATTTCCCTTTCTAAATGCCATTAGCTGGTAGGAAGCATTGTCTTTACTTATCAGATGAGAAGATCTGAGAGTTTACCATTGGTTAAAACCAGGTATCTCTCCCAGTACACTAAACAACTGACCTGTGGGTCATGAGTGCTTTAGTGAGTAATTCCCCCAGTAAACTGATTTGTTTGACAGTGGTTTCAGTATTATTTTGTGCTGGTTCAGACACAATGGGGAACCTGTTGATATGTCACCCATGTTGTCCAATGGCTTCCGTAATGATCTCTAAGAATTTCCAGCTTTGGGATTGTTGTTTTTTGTTAGACTTCACTGGTTCAGGTCTTCGTGTCTGCTATGATAAGGATTCTTAGTAAATCAGAAAGCTAAGAGATCGAGCAGGCCAGACGATCCAGCGAGTTTTTGCTTCTGAGTGATTGTATAGGAAACCAATGGTTGGAAGAATATGCATAATTCATTGCTGTGTGTGGTCGTATCATTTCATGGTATAGTTTGGATGGATTGCTACACCTCTCTAGACCAGTTAGGATGGCCTGCCCCTAAAGACTTCAAGAATCAAAATGATTCTGAATGTTTGGGGGTTTTCCAATGTTCCTGGTGAAGCCCTATGGTGCATATGCTTTGCTTATGTTCACCCGTAGTAGTACTTTTTTGGCTTAATGTTACTAACCAAGTTGCTAAGAATAAAGAAGTTTATTATTAAATTATATTTCCACATTTGTAACTTCTGTGTTTATGAAGAGCTTTGAATACTCTGTAGCAGAAAGGATGGTCTTATATTCTTGGAAGAATGGGTGTGAACTCTAAAAGTATGAATGGTAAATATGGACCTAATATTTCATTTGCTGAAGCTTATGCATCAATGTTCCTTCATATTATCCCATTTTATCAATTACTTCTCCCATTTTTAATAAACCTATTTGATTTATCTTGTAGACATAAAGAGGTACGGAATTATTGCATACCTGCTGTTTTGGGATTTTGCTTCAGTGAAATCAGGCACCCTTTTAAGGTTTTCTGGGGACATAAGAAAAGATCCCGCTTAAGAACAAGCACTGCAGCAACTTCGTAGAGAGAGGACAGGGTTCAGTCTTATTCAGTCGTGTGTGGAGTCTTGTTTTTGAAACAAAATTACGGCAATCAAAATCCCCACAGCCAGGAGCCACAAAATGGTAGCTTACTCTCAGAAAGTAAAGGGACTGAAGCAGAGTAAGGCAGAGGGGTTTGCAACCCCTACCAATTTCATTAAGAAAAGTTGAAGAGGCAATACATTTGATGCTGCCCTTTGCTGATCTATCTTTCTCCCCTTCTGTGTTTTAGGGAGATTCTGGCGGGCCCCTGGTATGTGAAGAGCGAGGCAAGGCCACCATCCGTGGCATTGTCAGCTGGAGCACAGGCTGTGCCCAAAGGAGCAAACCTGGGGTTTACACCAATGTCGCTCGCTACCTCAGCTGGATTCAGAGCAACATGCATTAGCAAGCCAGAGAGTGGAAAGCCAGTGAAATTGAAATCCTGGATCATGCGGCAGCTCTCCCCATGGGCTTGAACATCTTCTTCTCTCTTATTGTATGTGCAGTTCCCTAGGCTAGATGCTGAACGTTACAGAATCAGAGGATACCAGTTGTGTGGGTTACTTTTGGGGATAATAAATCAACCTGCACCAAATGTTCAGACTCCATGTTGTAGGCTGAAAAATGGGAGGCTTCAGTTCGACTGCTCCCTCCTCTCTGCTAGGAAGGCTATAAACGCCAGAAGGGTGGCTGCCTGCACTGTCTCCCGAAGCCTCATATTTGTTCTCCATGCCAAATACATCTCAGCAACAGGCATCTCTTTGGTGTCATTCTTGAGGAGACCCTGAAAAGGTAGGTTTTCCCTCCCATGGACAGAACCACGAAAGCTGGAGTTCAGCTAAATGAAGCCCTTGAATACTGAACACTGAACTCTCAGTAGAAGAACATTTTCACACAGGAATATCAAAATTATGAATCTACTTTGTGTTTTGAGTGACCAAGTTCAGCAAAATATGCTTTGGGTAGAAGGTGGGGGAAGGGAAGACAAAAAAATTTTTTTCAACAGAGGTTATTAATCTCCATAGTCTCTAAACAGCAGAGGGCACCCCATGTCCATGTTAATTCTGTAAGGAAAACCAGAAGCATGGAGAGCAAATTTTCTCTGGCCCTGATGAGAAACTCCTCAAAAGCAGGCTTTTTGCTTATCTCATGACATAAAACTAAGTCTTATGTTTGGCAAAGACCATGTAGGGTTTATGAGCTAGTTGTTTTCAAGTAACTGAGAGCTGCCACACAACATGGCTGGTTCCCTATCCAGAGAGCAGGAAAAAATGACACAATGGAAATAAATGGCAAGAAAAGGAAAGAGTGAACATTTTATTATAGTCATAAAAGTTAAAGCAACCAAATGCAATAGGAGAATGCAGAAAAATCTGATAAAGTAAGTAAATTACTTAGCACTGTTATTAGGGATCAGCATAGCCAGACCTTATGGCTTGGACAAAGAATTTAGCAAATGTATAAGTAATTTTGGAATGCTTATTTTAAAGGAAAAAAAATCTAAATACCATTGGTCTGGAGGCAGCCTATCTATTAAGGATTAGTTGGGAGCACATTTGTCAAAAACTCAGAAAGCTATGTTCAAAGAGGTGCAGGGACATAGTCTGTGGGCAAGACAACAATCTAGCCAAATACTAGAAGAAACTTCCTACTGTATGACTTTTGAACAGGCAGATATGAATGCACTAGGCTCTCCTTGTTTGGAGATATTTAGAGCAAGACCAGAGGGTCAAGTATGCAAGTATTTGTCTGCAGAAAGCGGATCTAGTATGGAAACTGGGGGTACAGACAAATTCCACTCCCAATGATCCTATGCTCTAGTGTCTTAGAAAGAACTTAACGGATTTAGTATAATGATATCCATTAATCATCACTGTGTGTGATCCGTCAATAAGCTTAGAATCTTATTACCTGCCAGTCAAATGCCTTGCAAGATAACTAGAAAAGTTACTGTATAAATCAGACGTTTGGATTAGATTATCTTCAAGATCAAGCCATCTCTACAGGTGTTTTCCATTACTAAGTGAAGAAATTGCTAAGTAGGAAATCATATGACTGCTTTCCTTTTCCTCACTTTTGGTGAGCATACCTTTTGGGATGCTCACCTCAGCCCTGGAATAATGATCAAGGAGAGTATTTTTGTTTGTATTTACATTCATTGGAGAGGAAGGGATTGCAATAGAGTAAGTAGGCACACAGTGGGGAATGCATATTGAAAGCAATGTAGTGGCTCTGTCAGCCCGAGCGTGCTCTGGGCTGGGAGCCTCAAGTTTACTGTGCAAACAGCTCTGTTTATTCTACATTGTGTGGCTGCTTATTCTCTTATAATCCCTTCTTTTCCAATCTCTTCACTCTGTAAAGCGGGTGCGGGGAGAAGAACAAAACAGGTCAGACACAATATAATGCACCCTGGTTGTAATAACAATCACTTGACTGAGGGATGCTGCAAAGGTCATAAAGTTATATTTTCAATACTATCATAACTTCCAACAATCCCTGAATAAGGCAGGTGGTAAGTGAGAATTATTTGTACTGTCAAGCACCAGGAAATTCATAAGACCCAGGCAGCTCAAACGGGTATAAAGATTTATTGCAAGCTTAAGCTCTCAATATTAATCTGAACTACTAACAGCCCAAGCAAACTGATTGTAGATAAGAGTCAATGAAATTCAAGGTGGACTGGACTTAAATCTCTTGTGGGTGTGAAGGGACTCATAACTAATGATGAGTTTGACCATTTCCTCGGGCTCAGCCTGGTCATCTCCTACATTATTATTATTACATGATATACATTTTTTAAATAATTGGTGGGAAGAATATAAGTGAAAAATTGGAAAGTTGTACTCAGGACAGCAAACAGGGATTCTCCTGACATGAATTCAATGTTTACATTGAATTCTCCTGACATGATAAGCAAATAATAAATCAAATTTGTCAGCATTCCTTGATCAAGAAAATCCATAGCTTAGCTCCATATTGTACATTATAGAAGTAGCAGAAAGTGGCACACCTACAACTGTAGTAGCTCAATGTGTGTGGGTGCATGAGGTAATTTTTGATTTGCTGCTGGTTCAACAGACATCTCATGTAAAATAATGTGAATATTTATGTTTGTTCTGAGTTGTGTCCAAAACATTTGGAACTACAATTGCATTTGGTTGTTGTATGCAGATGGCTGTGATCTTTGTTTTAGTTATGGTTACCTATAAACACCATGTAGATTATGAAACTTCTACATGATTTGTGCCTCAGATTCACATATTTGCTTCATATGGGGCCAACAATGTAGATCGAAACTTTTGTATATACAGTATAATAGTATCAAAAACCAAAAACCCATAACAGATAAGGATTTTTCAGATCGTCCCTATGTAAAACAAACCCATGAATCCAACTGTTACCCTGATAAAAGCACTCTGAGCAAAGTTTATGCTTCATGGGAACTGATACCATGACCCTGTTGCGCAACAACTTTAACTGAGTCTAGTAAGAGCTAGTTTATTCTGTAAATAGTTAAATCCACTTGGTGTTGGGTTTAGAGCAGTGTTTCTCAACCTTGGCAACTTGAAGATGAGTGGACTTCAACTCCCAGAATTCTGGGAGTTGAAGTCCATTCATCTTCAAGTTGCCAAGGTTGAGAAACACTGGTTTAGAGGAAATTTACAGGTAGTCCTCAACTTACAACAGTTCATTTAGTGACCGTTCAAAGTTACAACGGCACTGGAAAAAAAATACTTCTGACCATTTTTCACACTTACGACCATTGCAGCATCCCCATGGTCATGTGGTTTATATTCAAAAGCTTGACAACTGACTCACAGTTATGATGGTTGCAGTGTCCTGGAGTCATGTGATTCCTTTGGCGACCTTCTGACAAGCAAAGTCAATGGGGAAACCAGATTCACTTAACAATTGTGTTACTAATTTAAGAACTACAGTGATTCACTTAACAAATGTGATGAGAAAAGTTGTAAAATGGGGTAAAACTCACTTAACGAATCTCACTTAACAACAAAAATTTGGGGCTCAATTGTGGACATAAATTGAGGACCACCTGTATTTTACTCCAAAACATCCCTGGGATTGTTTAATCTGTTCAATCTTAGCCATATGATAGAAATAGGAAAGAAAGGGTTAACAGAGGGTTAACAACTTTCTCTTCCTGCTGCTGGCAGAAAGGGAGAGCCAAAAAAAAAACATAAAAAAAAAAAAAAAAAAAAAAAAAGGAGCTGCTATAGCAATATCTTTATTCCTATTTTTCTTTTCATTCCCTTTTCAGTCACATGGAGGGTAAAAAGGAATGCAATTGCTTTTTTTTCCAGTCATCCTTAAACACTACAACTGCCTTCACATTAATAGGCTTTCCCAGGTGAAATCATTTCACATTGCTAAACATATTCAGCTTCGTTAATGATCACCTTGGGTAGGTTCACATGAATCCGGAAATTTGGTTATTTCAGTTATCAAGTTAACTGTGTGGAATGAATGCGGCCTGTGGATATGGATATGTATGAATATTCTAAAGTGAAAGAAATGTTACTAAGGTTTGCTTACTGAGCTTCTCTATGATAATAACTGAAAGAGAGTGGAGTCCATCATCCAAGCCGAGCCTCAACCCAACTTGCACTCTGAGGGTTGTTCAGTACAATCTCCTCCCGAAGACCAGCGACTCAGACAAACAACCGCACAAAGCTTGGAAACTAAAGGGTGGGCTGGAGCTTGCAGTTAGGCCCTCTGGCTTGTGGAATCCAGCTCCCTTGGCGCCAACAGCTGTTTTTAGATAGGTTGAGGGTCAGTGTTTCAAGTTTTTCTATTTTCAGCCCCAAAGCTGGGGAAATTACTCTTGCCTCTGCATGTCTGAGCCAAGAGGGCTGGCCAGTCTGGTCCTTTCCGATCCAAATTGCATTCCACCCTGCCTCTTGAGGAGACTTTGCCTGCTCTGTCACTTAATCTTCTCATGCCCCTTTGCATCGCCGTCTTTCCACACATACATCACAGCCTCGTCAACTTCAGCTACATCGCCCTGGTGGAAATGTTGTGTGAGAAGTCCCATGTCATTGGACTCTTTCAGAAAGCTGCAAGGTCTTCCCTCATAGGAATTCTGGGCTGCCTCTCACCATCCATGTGCCACCTCACCATCTCTCACCTTCTGCCCTTCCAGCAGCTGCCTTACCAGCAACTTCCTGGAATCGGACTTTGCTCCAAACACGGCCCAATGGCACCAATAGAAACAGCACAAAGTAGCTACAGTGCATCATCATCTAACTTCTTAATCTTCCATTTGGTGGAAATTAAAACAAAAACTCCTGGCAAATAGTTGGGGAAGAAATGGAGGTAATGACAGATTTTATTTTCCTAGGCTCCAAGATCATGGCAGATGGGGACTGCAGCCAAGAAATTAAAAGACGCTTGATCCTGGGGAGGAAAGCTATGGCAAATCTAGACAGCATACGAAAAAGCAGAGACATCATCCTGCCAACAAAAGTGCTTATAGCCAAGACTATGATTTTCCCAGTTGCAATGTATGGCTGTGAAAGTTGGACCACAAGAAAGGCTCGATTCCCTTAGAAAAATGGCAACAAATGTGGGGGGGGGGGATATTAAAATGACTACGGCAACGTCTTTTAAGGAAAATGCATATGAAATGTTGTATAGGTGGCATCTCCCACCAGCAAGAATTGCTAAAATGTTTCCGGGTGCATCAGAGTTATGTTGGAAATGTGGGAAAACCAGAGGTACGTATTTCCACCAATGGTGGACTTGTATAATGGTGAAGAAGTATTGGAGAAGGATTAAGAATTGGATTAAGGAAATTACTAATGTGGACCTCCAATGGAAACCTGAGATATATTTACTAGGTATTTGCCCAGAGGGGCTGAATAAGAAAAAATGGTATCTCGCTCTACATATTTTAGTTGCAGCTAGAATAGTGTTCATCCAACAGTGGAAAGGAAAAGAGATACCAGCTAGTACCCAAATTATAAATAAAGTATTAGAGTGCGCTGAGGCGGACAGAATGACGTTTATGTTGAAAGAAAAAGAAGATTCCAAATTTTTTCAAAGTTGGGACAGTTGGTACCGGTGGTTGAATAAAATAATTGAGACAAAGTGAGGGCCTAGGCAATCATCAGGAGAGATATATTTATTTAGATTGAAAGATAATTGTATGAAAATAATATCTAGGGATTACTTACCCTACTCTTTGTTGTGGGCATAATTATTTACCAATGAGGGCAGGGACAATATCTGCCGGGATAGATGTGTTTGTATGTTTAGTGCTATAAATGGGTGGGGGAGGGAGGGGAATGTATGGTTGTTGTTTTTAGGTATAAATAATGTCTTTGTCTTGTGTTGATTTTAATCTGGATAAACTAATAAAATTTATTTTTTTAAAAAAAGAAAGGCTGAGCACCAAAGAATTGAGACCTTTGAACTAGGGTGCTGGAGAAGACTCCTGTGAGTCCCTTGGACTGCAAGGCAATCAAACTGGTCAGTCCTAGAGGAGATCAACCCTGACTGTTCTTTAGAAGGCCAGATCCTAAAGATGAAACTCAAATACTTTGGCCATCTAATGAGAAGGAAGGACTGGAGAAGAACCTAATGCTGGGAAAGATTGAGGGCAAAAGAAGAAAGGGACAGCAGAGAATGAGGTGGCTGGATGGAGTCACTGAAGCAGTCGGCATGAGATTAAATGGTCTCTGGGGGATGGTAGAGGACAGGAACGCCTAGAGGAACATTGTCCATGGGGCTGCAATGGGTCGGACACGACTTTGCAACTAACAACAACAACAAAACAAAAATGGTTACAGCGATAATAACCCATCAACAGAAAAGAGAGGAAATGAGCTTGAAAAGGAAGAGTAAATATTCCCCCCCAACATACAGACACCCAAATTTCATCTTTAAAACGACTGCATGACTAGTCTTAAGAGCCAAAGTCAAAACTGCAAAAAACTGGATTCCCCATTTCCCATCTTGGCCCAATGATGAAACTCAGGACTCTCTGTCCCAAGGTGATACTTCCATAGGGAAATTGAAGAATAGGGAGGGATATAAAATAACAACTGGATCAGGAAACATCCTGAGAACATACTTCTCTTTTTGCTTCCTTGCACCATCATTTTAATACAGCTCCCTAGGGTCCCATCTCCCTCCCTTTTAGATATCAAAATTCATTTCCAGCCCTATTCTCTCCGATGCCAGCTGGCTCCCTGTAACTCAGAGATGTCAGAATGGGGAAGGGCCATTGCCATAAATGTTTTAATGCAACCCGAACAAGCTCCATCCTACTACCTAGGATACAAATTTATTTATACCTGCATGATCCAGGTATTTAATATTTGTCCAAATCCTGGACAATCCCAAGGGCCAGATGGAAATCACATGAAATGCAGCCTTTTCGCTTAATTTATACTTAAATCACAGAATGTAGGCAGGTCTAATTTGCCTATTAAAAAAATGAACAACCCCCATCCCATTGAAAATAGACCATAGACAATCCAGGAATTCATAGTTTCACAGAAGATGTGGTAGCAGGACTACATAACACACACAGAGTTTCAAAAGATAATCAGTGGAGATGATCTGGAGCACTGCTGTTTCCCCCCTCCTTGGTGTTACAAAGGCCATTCTGTAAAAAACAAACAAACCCAATTTTGCTAAACTGACCAACCACATAGTGGTTCTGGATGGAAGTCTGCACCCTTTAATGATTCCAAGTTCAGTCCTGTACCTCCTTGCCTTGATCCCAGCATAGCTCAGGGCAATACTCTGTAGAAGATGCTTTCTGGACCTGTCCAGGCTGCCTTGAAAGGACTGTCCATCATGTTGATCAAATGCCAAAGTTGCTCCATAAAAAAAAAACAGGGAAAAAAAACCCAAACAAAACAAAATTAGACCAAACCTTTATTAGGACTAAACAAAACATCATGGAAGAGTGCAAAATGTTAATCCTGCAGAATTAGTGGAAAAGGTACAGAGGAGACATCCCAGGAAGATGAAAGTGAAATGTGAGAGCTAGAGACATTTTAATGCACTTCTGGGTAGAAAGAATAAGCAGTGTAGACTTCCAGGTTGGATGCTGGAGTTCATTTGAAGCATGGCAGGTAACATGCTTTATAATGAAAAGGTAACTCTTAGTGTCGGGGTTCATTGAGATGTTAGAAGAAACAAGCATTCTTTCTTTCAGGTTCTTTTTCCTTTCAGTTTATCTCAGTGGTCAATCTGTATATGAGAATATAACTTACCCAAACTCTCTGAGAGATAATAGTTAGACACCAGCTGCCCTTCTAGGTGTCTGGAACTGGAATGAGTAATATGGAATTAAACGGGCCTATCTCCGTGGATACCTGCCTAATTTACGCCATCCTTAGTTTGCTCTGTTTTCTGGGAAGAATGAGCTGCCAGATGTCGCTCTATTAGCTGGTAGAAATGCTTGCCTTGTTTGTAGTTTTATTATTGGATTGGTCTCCTTAGCAACATAATCAGTAATGCTTACAGGAAGAGAGACTTCACATGAAATCACCCTCATTGATAACTATTTATCACAATAGAACAAGGCAGTAGACTTATTGGGGGCTTAAAGCCATGTCCACAGACTATTATCCAGTCACAGGTGACAGATGAGTAGGAAAGTCATTTTATATACAGGGAAGTGCATTAAAGAAGCAGTCCTGTGACTGCAAAGTATGCTCTGTGAATTGGCCTTGGGTTACAACTGTTGCCTCTTTTTCTGTCCTTAAACAGTCTCTAAGACATTAATTAAGTTCCTGGCAAACAGAACTTGCCTTGCTTCGCTGTCCATCCCACTTCCTTACAGTACCAGGAAGAAAATACTATGTTGAATGCCTGTTAAAATTAAGGCTGGAATATGAGGCAGGAGCCCAGAACCTGAACTTGTGCCTCAGTTATAAATTCAGGGCAATGGCATGAGTTACCCTGCTAAGCATATGAGAGATTTAAAAAAGAGTTGATTGTTGGGGAGAAGTGCCTAAGAGATGGTAGGTGCTTGGCTATGGCACCAGCCTCAGCTTGAGAAACTAATCTCAACAAACTGGAACAACAGGAAAAATTTAATTGCTGGAGGCAATATGGAAGACACCTTTACTATGATTGACAGGAACCTCTTTGCCAAGATTTATGCCTGGCATCTGCCCAGAAACAGGATCAGGGTAATGTTTCCTCAAGCCAGATGGTTGAGTAAGCTTTGCAGTATGTCGCTTGTTTAGCTCAGCTTCCTCTGAGCTCGCAGGCAGGCTAGCCAGAGGACTCTGAAACCGGCAGCTTCACACCACCAAGTAATGTACCATCATCCACTGATTCTGCAGGAAATATTCTCCCTCTCCCTCTTGGTCTATCCATCTTTCTGCAATCCCAGGGCATCCCTAGGATAAGTCGGTTCCTTGGTCAAGTCATCTACTGTCCTTGGAAAACTTCCTCCCATCCTGATACCCCACCAGCCTTCAAAATCCCCAATCAGTGAGACCAATGGCTGAGCATATGGGAGCTGTGATACAGAGGGCTCTGGGGATTGGGAAAAGTTATTTTAGGACGTCCATGATTTTGCTCCTTTCCTGTTCGTTCTTTCTGTGGAGGACATCAGCCAAACTTCAAGCTGCTCAGACCCAAAGTAACAAGGAAATAATGTTCAGAAGCAGAATGCTTCTTGCTACAATTATGCAATGAGAGAAAACATGAGGATATCATTGTGATTATATCGCATTCTGCTTGTGAGTTTTTCCTTCAAGGCCCCCTAGCTGGCCAGTGTTTCTGATGGAGTCCCAGACCACTAGATGGATCTTCTTGTGATTTTTAATAGGCCCCCAATTCCTCCAAATGCCCCCACCCTCGTTTGGACAAGGGACAATATACGTGAGACAGAAAAATACGCAGCTGTACATTTTTAGTTCCAGGACCAAAATAGTCAGCCTGCTGAATCCCCTTTAATAGAATCTGTTTCTGTTTCCCCTTCCCACAGAGCAGCTGGGATAAATGAACGTTCCTTCCAAAGCTTCTCTGAGTTAGAACTGGTTTTGGAGCAGACTTTCCATTTTAGGATTAAGGATGGAGCCCAACCACTGTGGTGGTTCAATATAAATGGCACCCTTAAACCAAGGATTAGGGTTAGCATAACCAAGAACATACATTAGCTGGTTTATTATAACAATGACCAAAATTTGGTGCACGTCTGCATCGGGAGTCAAAGCTGCTATAGTAGTCATTACTGTACATCAATAATTTTACCTCAGCCCCCCTCTGCTCCCACTACCTCAGTTAATTAGCTTAATTACCTGATTACCTGAACAACAGATCAGGCAACCAAGCAAGCTAGAGAAACAGGCAGGAGTGTGAAACTGACTCTCGCAAACCAACCGCGTGCCAGTAAGTCACAGAAATCTTGCTTCTTGTGGCACTTCTGCCCTTCAAGCTACATGCAAGTCTGGGGTGGGGAAGTCTTCATTAAAAGGCAGCTGCGGAAATACTCAGCTCCCCAGCCTCCACTAGTTACCTTCTCTGGGACTCCTGAGGGATGTTCTGTAGCCATCGTGCCCTGTCCATCGTGCCTCTCTTGGGTTCCAACAACCCTCTAGCAGAGTCCTCATTTTTGGCATAGGAAGGAGTGGGCAGGGGACAGGAGTTGCTGGAAAGCTCTGCGGAAGTCCCGGTTAAAGACCGTATAGATGATGGGGTTGAAGCTGCTGTTGCAGTACCCAATCCAGAAGAAGAATTTGAAGAGAGGCTCGGAGATGCAGCAGCCTTCTCCAAGCACAGATTCCAGGCTGTAGGTAAAGAAGAATGGGAACCAACAGAGGACAAAAGCTCCAATGATAAAAGAAAGGACAAAGGTGAATCTGCGCTCCCGGGCCTGCATCAGCCGATTTGTGGAGAGGGACATGTCCCTGCTTCTGCGCTGATGGGGACTGGAGGGAAGTGACCAAGAAAGCCTTGGGGTCCTTGGTGGCCGAGCACTGCTGTTGCCACCGTCATCTACTCTCCACTGCCGAGAGAGCCGTGGCAAGCTAGGCTGGGGATGAGGAAGGTGGCCAGACTCCATTCCCACCTTCTGCGTTTCCCCAGGAGGCTGGGTGCTCTGTCTGCAGGGATTGTACTTGGCCACAGGGATGAAGTTGGGGTAGGACACCCGCCGTGCTGCAATGACCATGGAGTTCCTGTGTTTGGCCACATGATAAATCCGGCAATAGACTGCAACCATGATGAGACAAGGGGCATAGAAGGAGGCAGTGCAAGAGGCCAGCACATACCAGGTGTCGTCATGCAGGAGGCAGACCTGGTCCTGCTGTCTGGACTTAAACAGTGGTGGCAGGGATACAATGGCAGCAATGGCCCAGACAACCCCAATCATACATTTGACCCTCTGGGGGCTCCTTTTCAGATTATAGCGGGCAGCTCGGGTGACTGCCCAGTAGCGATCTAAGCTGATAGCACACAGATGCATTATGGAGGCGGTACAGAACAGGACATCCAGCGACAAGTAGAAACTGCACCAAAGACCCCCAAAACACCAATAGCCCATGATCTCATTGGCCAAGGAAAATGGGATAATGAGGGTGGCTACCAGGATATCGGCTGTAGCCATAGACACCAGGAAGAGATTCTGTGGGGCCCGAAGGGCACGGCTAGTGTACACAGCTAACACAACCAGCACATTCCCTGTAAACGTCACAAGAGCCACAGTCAGTCCTGCCACAAGGATGAGAGTTGTGGCCAGAGGTGAGTGTGGAAAGATGGTGGGTCCCTGCTCACTCTGATTGCTAGATCCATTTTGCTGTGGCTCCATCCCATTCATCCCCAGACCAGGCCATACCCCGACTGCCTGCGCAAGGTTCACCAGCTCCCAAGTCTTGCTCAGGTAGGGCAAGTTGTATAGTCAGGACAGCTGCAGAAAAGGATGGCACTGCCACCAACCTTCTTCTCGGTAGGCACCATTCTAAGCTAGGAGGCAACAGCACAAACCTGCAGTGGCACTGCAGAATCCAAGCTATCAGGTTGGATGTTGAAGCAGAATCACAGTCTTCAAGAAGGCATGACGGACCTTGAAGAGTAAAATGGATCCCGAAGAAGCCGTCTGGATTCCAGAATATTTTGAGATAGGCGGCAGATCTGATAGTTTCCCCAGCTCACTCCAGGTATTATCACCAGTTCTTCCTGTTGCTGTAACCTTTCCGGATTTGGGTTATTGGGAATATCCAAGACAATATTGGTGAGAAGACAGAAAACTCCAGTCTTCTTGGATACTTCCTTTTTGTTGAAATGATGTGAAGCTCAGCTGGACTGCTCCAGCTTGAGTCTCTCTGAGTCTGGTCTTTGCGCTCCCTGTAGAGGAGGGAAGGGAGGGGCTGACGGAGTTACTGTTCGGCCTGCAGGCACCCAGCCAGATTTCGCTGGTGGTGGGAGAGGCTATTTGCTACCAATGTTAATGAGCTTCAGAGAGTCTCAGAGAGTCTGAGTTGCTTAGTATTGCCCCACCTGGTAAGTGCAAACTGGCAGCAAAGGGGGAAGGACTGTGCCCAGCTGCCTCAGTCACCTATTCCAAGCTATTTTTGAAATTATAACTGTGCAGATCATTGTTCTCAACATAGAGCCCTTCTAAGAAAGTGTATTGGGATTTGCAATCCCTGTTTGTCCAGTCAGGGAGGGGAGAAAAAAACTCCCAAGATCTTTATTTTCTAATCTTCCTCCCTACCAATAAAACTTTTTGCTGGAACAGAAATATGTAATTGGCTTAATGACAGAAACAAGCATTAACTTCTCAGAGTATTGTCTTTCTCCTTCAATCTGTTAGAAGCCCACATCCATCTGGAAGGAAAGCCAGCAAGTGTACACATTGGTAGGAGTTGTAGTTCTTGAGAGGGTGGGATGTCTCTGCAATTCGGCAGGGCTGGCCAACTTTGGGGTCAGATGCCAAGCACAGCTAGGCCCAATTAGGACTTGGAGGGGAGCCGTCCAGAGAATAGCAGGGTTGGAGGCTCCTTTGAGAAGTAGAGAAAGACTTCCAGGAAGATAGTAATGGCAAGCCGCAATCATGCTGTTACCCCAGAGGTGGTATTCAGCAGGTTTGACCAGTTCTGGAGAACCAGTAGCGGAAATTTTGAGTAGTTCAGAGAACCGGTAAATATCACCTCTGACTGGCCCCGCCCCCATCTATTCTCTGCCTCCCTAGTCCCAGCTGATCTGGAGGAAATGGGGATTTTACAGTATCCTTCCCTTGGAGTGGGGAGGGAATGGAGATTTTACAGTATCCTTCCCCTGAAGTGGGGTGGGAATGGAGATTTTACAGTATCCTTTCCCTGCCACGCCCACCAAGCCATGCCCACCAAGCCACGCCCACAGAACCGGTAGTAAAAATTTTGAATCCCACCACTGTGTTGCCCCCTGCCCACCCCAAAGAATGCATTCTGGTGGCATACCATCCCCGGGCATCAAGCACCACTTGAAGGAGACTTCATTATGCTTCTAGTGGGCAGGGGGAATAAAAGGGGAAAAAAGATGGCTAGGTTTTGTGAGGAAAAAAAAACCTCCTGGATTCTGTAGCTGTGATTGCTTAGACCTGAAATCTGTGTACCTCTGCACATGCTTAGCGGAATCACCTTCATTAACCCATCAACTTCCTCAACTGAAGGCTGTATTTTAAAGGCTTTGTGGGCAACCTCAAATTAGCAGGATCTGAAATAGATCAATGATTCCCTTGGTTCTTCTCAGCTATCTGCATGATTTGATTGCTTATTAGTAACCTGTGACTATCCCTAAAGTGTTGTATCTTATGATTCTTGATGAATGTATTTTTTTTCTTTTTTTTCTCCTTTTATGTACACTGAGAGCATATGCACCAAAGACAAATTCTTTGTGTGTCCAATCACACTTGGCCAATAAAGAATTCCATTCCATTCCATTCCATTCCATTTCCTATCCTACCCTACCCTACCCTACCCTACCCTACCCTACCCTACCCTACCCTACCCTACTCTATTTCTATTTCTATTTCTATTTCTATTTCTATTTCTATTTCTATTCTCATCTTGCTTTTCTTCAGCAGGATCCTTACACAGCCCCAAACCCACCTTTGGTTCCTCACTGGCAAATTTACGGGGGCCCATCATCCCAGCTGTTTCAGCAGAGCCCTGTGGCCTCTGCTCCTTGGCTAGCTCTTCCAGGACTGGAATTCAGATTCCCGTTATCCCACATTGCCACCCAGTGGCCAGAGTTGTCTGTGCACCAACCTCACTACCAAAAGAGGCGGCTGGCATAACATGTTATAGAAATAGTGCTAATTAAAGGAGTAGGTTGAATTTTAAAATATAGCTCGCCTACTGACAGGCATTTGAGAGGAGTGGGTGGCTGAATCTTTTTAAAGGTATTGTTTGCCAAGGGTCTTTATGAACCATTTATAGCAATGCAGTTTTTTCCTCAAATCCAGCCTGGGTATTAGCAATGCAAATGAAGTATCTCAGGGAATTTTCCTATGCTATATTAAATACCAGATTTGCCCAGAAGAGACCTACAAGCAATTAACAAGACTGCCTAAGGTGTGAAATTGGAAGAATCCTATTTTTGTGCATAAACCTACAAACAAATGAGGGTTTAAAGATCACAGGATACTATCATCTATTTTGTTTCTCAGAAGAATCTTTGAGACATGTTTCACTAAAGATGGCAGTTTTTCATGGAAGCAACATTCTTTGGGATTATTTCTGAACCACTGTAATGACAGATATGGACTAATTTGGGAGTTCCCAACTGTGGGTCAGGACTGCGGGGCGTAGAAGAGAGAGTTGTAAGCCATATAGAGAGGATCACAATTTTCTGAAACCTGACCAGGTTTGTTCCGGCACAGTGGAAGTTACTATCAAGATTTTCCTCTCAGTTTTGCTTGATTTTTCTGCACAAACCCAAAGTACACAGTTATGGTGTTTCAAAGTTTGGAAATCTTTGCTATGTATAATGAAATTATTAAAAGTAAGTGGTACCGTTATTTCTTTCCCAACTCTAACCCAATAAAATAATTTGTTTAATTTGTGAGGTGGATATGTGTGTTTGCACATGTGTATAATTTTATGAGCTCACAACACCACAAAGCTTAGGAACCTTCAGAATGATTTCAGATGTTTAGGAAGGACCATAAACGACTATCAGTTATTTAGAGGTACCTTGTTTTTAAAAGACGTATTTGTTTTAACTGATGGGTAAGGTATCTTCAGAGATAGTTAAAGTTATACAGATTTTTATCTGAATTTGGACATAGACCAAAAAGTGCCGTACTAGAAAAGGAGTATCTTCAATAGCTTTTTTAGTACCTTAACACATTGTTAATTTATTTCCTTTGTAAAATTTGGATGCAAGATTAATCATTGTCATGAAAGAGTCCGCGCATCTGTATCTTTCATGGTCAGGCCTGTCCAGAGCATGTCCAGAGGTTTTATGGGGCATGCAGAATGCTGGAAGCTCTGATACAAAATCTGTGCACATATGGTGCTTTGAGGAGGAAGCACCAAGACCACCCTAAGAAATGCAAAAGCGATATAAGACAGCCCAGGCATGTCTGCTTTATATTCCCAAATTTCAAGGACTCTGCTGCACTTTAGATGAAGACAGGTAATTATCCAATTATGCTAAGGGCTTTGCTCAAAATCTTTCACTGAAGTCTTCTTCCCACTGTTGCTTTGTGGCAGGGAAATGTACTTCTCCCTTAAGTTCGCTTATTGGAATAAAACACCTCTGTATGTTTGAATACTGGTGGGAATAACTTCTTAATGAAAAACTACTGTCAAGGATTCTGCTACCCAATTACAAGAGACAGGATTTTGCCTTTGGGGGCACTTTTTCCAAATGATATTGTTCCATTCACTTGCACAGCAATACAAGTAATCCTTGACTTGTTGTAGCCATTGTTTAGTGACCATTTGACGTTACGATGGCATTGAACAAAAGTGACATGACCCTTTTTCATACTTACAACTGTTGTAAATGGAAGTGTTGTAGCATCCCCGTGGTCACATGATCAAAATTCGGATGCTTGGCAACTGGCATTTATTTATGATGATTGTAGCATCCCAGGGTCATGTGATCACCTTTTGCGCCCTTCTGACAAGCAAAGTCAATGAGGAAGCCAGACAACCGTTAATAACCGTGACAAGAAAGGTCGTAAAATGGGGTAAAACTCACTTAACATCTGTCTTGCTTAGCAATGGAAATTTTGGGCTCAATTGTGGTCATAAGCCGAGAACTATCTGCAAATCATAGAATGGGTTTCATAATGTGGCTGGGTGATTACAATATTGGCCACAGGCAGTGCATTCAAAACCCATTGTGTAAACAAACTTCAGTTCCTTTGAGTTCAGATGCCTAACGAATTGTGGTTAACCAGGAAGAAAAGCTTGATCTTCTCATTAGGTAAAAAAAGAAAGAGAAGTTTGGATAGCAAATCAAATAGTGCAGTGTATTAATACACTGAGTAACAATGGTTTCTATTTATGCCCGTAAACTAGGCCCGTACTTTCTTCTCCAAAAAGTAATGCTATTCTTGGGACCTTGTCATTCAAGAAGTAGAAAAATATATACTGTAATATTCTAGCTGGCTTAAAGAACAGATTTATCAGTGAACTTTATTTTTGAAGGAGTGATTTAGAAACACATCTGGATGCTCAAATTATGCAACAGGGGACACAAATCTGAAAGAAACTCTGCAAATTCAAACTCGACAGAAGCAGAAACACAAGCTGCCCTGGGATTATGTGCTAAAGCAAAGGTAAAAATGACAGAGTGCACATTCTGGTGATATAATCATAAAGTAAATGTGAACATGAGACACGAAGAAGATCCAGGGAAGATTACAAAGATTCATAGTGCTTGCAATTTTTTTTTTTAAAGCAACCAAAACATCCAAAGTGGCGGCTGAACTCCTAATTCAAACCATGTTCAGGGTCTGCTAATGGGATAGATTCACTCCCTCCCCCCAAAGTGATTTTCATATGTGATCAGTTTCTCCGTTAACATAGAGTTTTCTATTCTTAAAAACTTAAAAATCAAAGGAAATGGCTCCTGTTTTAGGATTGTTAGTTGCTGATCTGCATCATGTTATTGGTTCAACCTCAGCTGAGATTCAGCGGTAGCCAAGAGAATATTGTGTCATATTTTATAAATAGTACACATCATATTCTTCACAATCTGCATTTTAACTGGAATAATGAAAATTATGAGAACAGTTATCTACCGTAGTAAAAGTACAGAAACAATGTCTCCCCAGTTTTATTTCTAGAATTTTTCTGGAACCCAAATTGAAGTGATCTATAACTACTCAGCAGAAATATAAGCGGTATAAATGTAGCAACTGGTTGCTTAGTGATTCCAAAATTATTATTATAGGAACTATTTAAGAAACACCATTGTATCAGTTTCTATTACTTTCTTGCTCATAAAGAATTTGATGGTCAGAACCTATTAAGACAATTCTATAAAATGAAGTAGATATTCTACAGGTTCAAACAACCTCTACATGGTTTCTGCTTCCAATTCCCACCAGTTTTAATTAGCACATATAATGATTTTGAGATGATGTGAGTTGTCATCAGACATCTGAAGGACCTTGTTGTCAAGTTAAAAAGGAAATATCTTCCAAGCACCATTATGAGTAATTCTGCAAATGTGTTGCACATTGAGTAAACAGTATTCAGGGAGACCTACAGTTCTGCTACAAAATAACTTCTGAATATATGAAGCTCCTGTTACACAGATACTAAGGGCAATCGAGAGTGGCGTTTTTTGCTGCATTGTAAGTATTATAAACTCTCCCGCACATTATGGAAGTCCAGACGCTGATTATTTTGCGCTCATTCATTGATGCTCATGTCAAAATGATATGCACAGTGATTACCAAATGCCAGTTATAGGCATATTTCCCATGAAAAGTTCTGCCCAATGAGACATGAATCTATATTGGCTGGAATACACAGGTGGCAATGGCAGTGCTCCAGTGAGGAGGGCAACCATCGGCACAAACTCCAATATTTGCACTGATGCAGTTCCTTGTCACGCTTTTTCTTTTATTATTGCCTGTCTGCTGAGCACCGCTGTCTGCAGAGCTGTGCTCCAGCACAAATCACAGGCGGCTAGCACGCTGCATTGGCAGGATATTCAGCTGGGGTGAAAGTCTTGGTGGTGGAGACCATTCCTCTAAGAAGAAAACAGAAGGCTTCGGCAAACCTCTTCTGACCTTAACCTCTGGTGATTTATTTTTACATTCCTCTCGGCTACTTGAACAATGGGCAGCACAACACGGCGTGGCTCTGGTCATCAGCCCATCCAAGGGCTGCAAAGAATGGAGCCAGTATGGCAAGAAGTCCCAACTCTGAAGCCACCTGGGCAGTCGGTCGGGGCTTCGTGACTGCATGATGTTGATAACGGCCACACAAGCTAGAAGGAACAGGAATGGAGCTCCCACTCCAACCAGCACCTGCCACCCTGCCACGGAGAGTCCGAAAACCAACGACGGCAACAAGAGGAAGCAGATAATCAGGTAGAAGACAGCAAACCAGCGGTACTTGGCTGTCTGCTCACCTAATGCTTCGGCCATGCGGATTGGAAGGCGAGTACAAGGTAGGGGATACCACAGCAAAATCCCAGAGATGTTGAAGAAGAAGTGGCAGAGAGCAATCTGAGAAGGGAAGCCAGAAACATAGCAGTTCTCTCGGGTGCAACATTAGGAAGAAATGCATACCAGCAGGGGTGGGTTCTACTTATCTTTACTACCGGTTCGCATGGGGCTGTGCACGCTCATGCACAGAAGCGTCCTGATGATGTTGGGGTTGGTGGGCGGAGTGGGCGGAGCCTACTGGTTTTACTACCGATTCTTGTGAACCGGTCCGAACCGGGGGCAACCCACCACTGCATATCAGGCACGGGGTTTGGGAGGAGAGCAAGGAAAGGAACCTAGTAGTAGCCCTTTCACTTCTGATTCATTCTAGTGCCTCTCTGCTTTGCCATTGCTGTTCTTTCCGGGGGGGGGGTTGTTTATAGAGGATGGGAATGGCAGTCCTTAGTGGCATGTAAAGACATCCTTAGGCTGGGAAATCTATTGCCATAAGCCATCCTCTCTAGTTCAACAGAATAGAAAGAGGGCATCTCCTCACCTGCAAGGCACTGGCCAATTTATCCCCTGGACTGGCCAGGGCTGCTAGGATAGCCGTAGTTGTAGTTCCAATGTTAGAACCAAGAGTGAGGGGATAGGCACGTTCTAAACTAATCACCCCGAGACCTGTCCCACAAAAGAAAAGAGGAACTGGTCAGAAAGCAACAACTTCTTTCCCCACAATACACACTAGAGCAGTGCAAAGGGAGCCCTCCTTATTCCACAAAAGCAGAGTTCCTGAAGATGAGTCCAGTTCAGAGGTGGGATTCACTTACCTTCCCTACCGGTTCACAAATGGGAGCGCACGCACCACCTTTGCCCATGCACACGGCCTTCTGCACATGTGCAGTAGTTGCGCATTACATCCGGGTGGGTGGGCAGAGCCTCTCACAGTTGCCACTACGGGTTCGCGCGATCCGGAGAGAACTGGCTGAATCCCACCACTAGTCCAGTTACTCATTGTCCCTGTTCAGTCATCTCATTTAACCAGGATACTGAATAAACTATCCGGTTTTGCGTCCTGTACTAAGGAGAAGATTAGACTAGATAACCTCTAATATGGACTATTCCTTCCATGTTTCTATGACGTATATTCTGAACCAAGCAAGATGGGTTTGTACCCACATTAAGCCATGAAAAATCACCAAGCTGATCACTTATCAAGGTTGTTGCTTATCCACCTGCTAGCTCTTAACTGATCTGGCTAAATATGTTATGTGAATATAGATACAGCATCTTGTATCTCAGTAATTTCTGAGATAGCTGTGCCTTCAAATCATTACATCACTATGTCCTTTTTAAGTAAGATAGTAACATCTTGCTTATTTATTCCATATATCCCAGAGCAGCTACACCCTTAAACCCAGGCTGACTTCCTCCTGCCATGGTGGATGGGACAGATGCGGCTAAGAAACATTGTTAGCAGATTGGTGTTTCTCTTGCAGGGGGCTAAAAATCTACAGTAAATCTCATCCAGAGTTTCTTTTGTACAACACAGTCCCTCCTTCTTGAGTTGCTACTGGGATTTGTGGGGGGGGGAAGGGAAGATATAGAGGGACTTACCTACGAGAGGGGTGATTGCTGAAGTAAAGACAGAGCTACTTTGCATAACAAACGTCACCCCGGCACCAACAAGCATGGCAAAGTAACCGGTGGCCCATCCAAAAGGTGATGGAAGATCTGCCCAAACCAATACAATGTCAGAAACAGCAAGGAGAAGAGAGGATTCACATAGGTGGGCTCTACTACAAGAAGAGTAGTGCCCTTCAGAGGCCCCACATCCAAACTTTTTGACCCAAGAAATCTCCAACCTGGTGGGGAGAGAACCAGTCTATCAGCCTACCTGTGTTAATGACCTTCTGGATAGCTCTGGCCACTTGGCCTTTGAGCACAGAGTTTAGTAATTTGACCAACATCATAAGACAGGTGCACAGTACAGCCAGGGATCCAGCCAGCAGCATGAGTCCTACAGCCAAGTCTGGCAGAGAGGAGTCCACAAACAGATGGTTGCCTGGACAAAGGATCAGTATTCAATGCAAGAGGCTTCCTTCCCCCACCCTCTTACTTTTGTGGCCTGACAGGAAGAACGGTGGCATCTGTAGCCATTTCTTTCAGAGCTTTGTTGCATGAAATTGCTGGTGCTTACATTTCTGTGGCATGGCACTGCTGAAGTTCCCAGCAGTTTCCAGACTGTTTGGCATAAGGGAGCTGCAGTTTAGGGATCTTCCTCTTGTGCCTGCTGAAGAAATCTATAAAAAAAGAGGGTCATCATAACATTGTGTAGGAACTTTGGGGAGATGAATGAGAAACCCCCCGCTACTCATTTCCAGCCAAAAACAGCTTTATTATAATGCCATTAATACTTAGCCATTCAATCCTTCTATCTCGTTCCTTCTGTTCATTCAGAAGTGATCCTTGCAGGCAAAATGTTGCTAAAATGTTAATTCTAATATCAATTAGCCTCCATAACAATCTTCATATTCCATCCATCAGCACTCATTTAGCATCGGTTCCAAGGCAGTGACATCTGTTTAACTCCCTCGGGAAAAAAAACATTTCCCAACCTCTTGTTCTGCTGCTGTTTCCTTCCTTGGGTTTCATTTTTCCCAAAATACTTTTTCAGTGACTGCACTCCCAAAGTTACCCTTGTTCCGAGCAAGCAACATGTTGCTGTGTATTGCGCAAGCAGTTTAAAATTAAGAAATCTGTTTGGCAACATCTGCCCTACCCCACTTTTGAGTTCGTGAGGAAATTTGCAGCCAGCAAGGCCATACATCTATTTGGGGATGAGGTTTAAAGGGCACTTCCCAAAGGTACCATTCCTCCTCTCCAAATCTCTCCCAAAGCAGATCCTTTCCTATAGCCTCCAAATGCAGAAAACACAACATACCAATCTATAGTCTCCTTCCAGTGGGCTAATAGGAATATAATGAAAACATAATTCAGTCCTTGCCACTTCTCAGCTATTATTCCATCCGGAACAACAATAGAAAATGCCCCTGCCTCATTCCAGGCAAATCAGAGATCAAAAATTACAAACACTCCCACCTCCACTTGCATCAGAATATGCCATATGGCATACATTTGGTCGAGTGGTAGGTTTCAAAATTTTTTGCTACCGGTTCTGTGGGTGTGGCTTGGTGGGCATAGCATGGCTTGGTGGGCGTGGCAGGGGAAGGATACTGTAAAATCTCTATTCCCACCCCAATCCAGTGGAAGGTTATTGCAAAATCCCCATTTCCTCCCAATCAGCTGGGACTTGGGAGGCAGAGAATAGATGGGGGTGGGGCTAGTCAGAGGTGGTATTTACCGGTTCTCCGAACTACTCAAAATTTCCGCTACCGGTTCTCCAGAACTGGTCACAACCTGCTGAAACTCACCTCTGACTTGGTCTTTTCCCAAAAGTTCTGAGCATTTGTAATTAAGCAGAAAGTAACTGGCTACAACGCCACAACTCTTCTGTATTAAAAAATCCCACAAGACCTATGCAAGTGACGTGAAGTCACATCATCTATTCTCCTATCAGATGGCATCTCCAGCATTTTGAACTATGATTGTGGTCAGCTGATAAAATGCAGACAAAGAGGCAATGTTCTAAATAAAATGAACCCTTTCTGGGCTGGGGGAACTAGAATCTACTTCTCTGCCACTGTTCCCTTTCAAGAAAAAGAAAGGGAAAAAGAAAGGAAAGAAGAACAAGAAAAAAGGAAGGAAGGAAGGAAGGAAGGAAGGAAGGAAGGAAGGAAGGAAGGAAGGAAGGAAGGAAGGAAGGAAGAAAGAAAGAAAAAACCAAACCTCCCAAGCAGCCTGGCCCTTTGTATGTCCATTGTCCCTTGCTCAATTTTATTGTGCTGAATCAAACCGGGATTCCCCCTTAATACTGTACAGGGGCCTCAAATCCACACAAGCTATGTTAGACAGTCTACAATGATACTCTGTGGGCCCTGCTGCTGCTGGCAAAAGAGGAGCACTGTCCTCAAAGTTCCTCAAAGACACACAAGCCTCACAGTTCACTTTGGCTCACTCTGACAACCTCCTGACCACAGGGGAGCCTGGACATCTGGTTGACCACAATCAATGCCCCGAAGACTCTCATGACAATCAGCAAGAGCCTCTGGGAACCTGGGTACTGGGTGGCACTGGGCTCTCTAGGCAGAGCTGCTAGGGCTGTCTAAGGAAAGGAAGGAGGAGAGCCAAGTTTGATCATCCCACAACGAGGGTCTTTCTGACATGACTGGTTCATTCTCAAGAAAGACCAGGAGCGAGTAAACAAGCAAGGATGCAAGGAAGATTTCTCTGCTAGAAAGGCAGCAGGACTCTACTAGACAGGAGGAAAGGAGAGGAGGAGAGAGGAGGAGAGGACAGGAACATATCAACCCAGAAATTAAAGGACATTAGAGTATTGTAACTAATTTCACTGCTGTCTATTTTACTATGTGTGTGTCTATGTGTGTGTATACATACATATACATATACCATATTTTTCGGACTATAAGATGCTCCGGACCATAAGACGCACATTAGCTTTAGAGGAGGAAAATAAGAAAAAAAAAATTGCCTCTGCTGCCCAGCATCCATCTGGTATTCATCTGGCTAGTGTCCTTGCAGCAAACAGCAAACATCCTGGTCAACTTCAGCACATTATCACAGCCCCAGCATGTGGCTCATCAGGACTCCACTCCGTTGCGCCCACCACAGCTGACAGTTGAGCAACAGCTGGATCCCGGCTTCCTGTAGCCCCGTCGATCAGTGAGCTGGCCAACTGGAAACACTGCCATTGCTGTCTCCTTTGTGTCTGCTGCCTCTGCCGGGAACAATGGAGCCTTCGCTGCTGAACAGCTGATTGGAGGTTGGATTGGCCTCCTGGAATACTGCCGATCAGCTGTTCTAGGAGGCAGGGATCGCTACCGCCATTCACCACCACTGTTCGCCATCGCTGTTTGCTGCTGCCACTGTTTTTTGTTGCCTAGAACAGTTGATCGGCAGTATTCTGGGAGGCCGATTCAACTGCCAATCAGCTGCTCGCTGCCCCACCAACCCCCCTCCCCCCCCAGCCACAATATTCATTCCATAAGACACCCAGACATTTCCACCCACTTTGGGTGGGGGGAGTGAGTCTCATAGACCGAAAAATAAGGTACATATACTTACACACACACACACACACACATATACACATACATATATTTGGGTGTGTGATAAATTATACGTTTAATAATATGCCATGATATTCATGTTTGACTCATTAGAGATTTTTGGATCAATGTATAAAAACGTTTCAGCACAGCAGCCCTTTGTCCAAGGACCTATTCCTGGTGAGCCATTTGCTATGGCAAGTTGCGCTTGAGATCAGGGCAGGGTCAGAAAGGACTGCTAGGGGGCAGATGCTTTGGGGCCAGAGGGAGCTGGCAAGAATCCTTCCTGGTGAGGAAACAGACCATCCACGTTTTCCAGAAAATTTCACGATTGAAAAATGAAAGAGAAGAGTTTTTACAGTGTGGGGTACAACACAGCTGAGCTGGAAATAGATTGGTTCCATATTCAGATTCAAATGATGCAATGGGGCTTTGGAATTTGTGCACAATCCTCATTCAGAAGTGCTCTAAGCTTTCATTCCCCACCATAATAGAAGTGCGCAACTATAAATAACTATGAATGTCTTTCTTTTTAAATCTATAGCCTTTCATCACTGCGTAACTACTCATTTAGTTACTGGATTTAAAAAAAAAAATCTGAACTAGCGTAGATAGAGAAAATTAACATATTCCAAAGAGAAAATTAACATATACCAAAGAGAAAATTAACATATTCTAATTCCAATATGGAACTCTATTAGGAGAAAAAGCACACTGAATTCATTGGTGGCTGAAATGCATGTCAAAATGTTTTCCATTCATGCACATTTACAGAGAGGCTCCATCAAATGAGGTAAATAGACTGTTAATCAGAGAGAAACCTTCTCAGTGGTGGCCTCTTTATAGGCTAGAGAATCTGGAACATCTTCTGCATGGTATTTGCTGTTATCTCTTACATTCTCTTTCCCCCCCCCCACCCTCCCCGGTTGTATCCTTTCTCTTCTTTGGCACAAATTCTCACCTGTGGAACTGGCGCTTCACACCACACCCGAATCAGACTTCTGTTCTGCAAGCTTTCATTGCCTGTGGCAATCCCTGTGATCACTGTTTTATCCAGCTGAAGGAAACAAGAAAAATCCTTAAATTGTGGCAAGAGTGGGAGATACCTCTCTCATCCCCACCTCCCCAGGTTACTGTACAAGTAGTCCTCAATTTATAACCACAATTGGGACCATAATTTCCATCGCTAAGCAAGTCAAGCCTGACCTTTTTGCCACTGTCGTTAAGTGAATCCCTGCAACTGCTAAGTGAATTATGCAATACTAAGTGAAACTGGCTTCCCCATTGACTTTGCTTGTTGGAAGCCAGTTGGGAAGGTTGCAAATGGCCATCACTTGACCCCAGGATGCTGCAACTGTTGCTGGTGACCAAGTACGAGTTGCCAAGTGCCTGGATTTTGATCATGTGACCATGGGGGTGCTATGCAAGGACCGCTCCTATGTCACTTTTTTCAGTGCTGTGGTAACTTCATTAAATAAATTGTTACAAATTGAGGACCACTTGTACAGAAAACCGAGAAGGAGCTCCCAGGAGAAAGACCAAGAATTTAGATTAGTTTCTCCCAAGCTGGTACCCTTCAGATCTTCAGTGTCATAATCCTCCACCTTGGCATAGCGCACACACCTGAACAATAAGGCCAGTGAAGGGCTCCGTGATTACTTTCAGAAGCTCTGGCGCATCCTGTCCACTGCGCAAGTTGAGAGTTGCCATGGAAACTTTGGTGATGTGGTGCAGATAGCCACTGGCCACTTCCAGAGGCAGCAGAATCAGTACTGACAACCAGTTGAAGCAGTCATGCACCGTGGCCCCTGCAAAGGCCCTGTTAGACAACAGAGAAGTTCTTGCTGTTGTGAAATATCGGAGTTGCAGCATGGAGTATATGGATGGGTCCTACATGAGCATCCATCCAAATCATCTGTATTGCAGAAGTGTCTCTGAGCCCCACTTCTGCCAATTTGTTTTGCTTACCTGAATTACCAATTACTCCTGGTTTAACACATGCCTGTTCTTCATTACTCCTGACTTAGGTTTGTAGCCCCAGAACCCACCAACCTCAGCCGTCTACTGGCATCCTCCTATAATTGATGAACACTTTCTCCTTCGGCCAGCCTGCCCCTGTTCTTCATCCAGTTCTGCCAGACACGCAACTGGCCTTCTTTCCAAGGCAGAAGCTGGCTACATTCTCGGTCTCCATCTGCAGTTACTGGACTCCCACCTCCCACCCAATAATACTTGCCTCTTAAATTCACTTCTGTCGCCAGCTTGCATGAGTGCCACAATGGTGTTGGTGACTGAGGTCCCTATATTGGAGCCCATGATGATGGGGATGGCTGAACCTACCTCCAGCACTAGAGAGCAAAGGGCAAAGAGCACCTGGTGAGAACTCTGGCTTGAAGATGCCACCATAGCATCATAAACAGAATGAGAGTTCGGGCACACTTTTCCTCCTGGCCAGACTCTTCCTTTCCAGTCCTATGTATATCTCCATCAGATACACCAATGTATTACCGTATTTTTCAGAGTATAAGACGCACCTTTTTCCCCCCTAAAAGGGGGTGAAAATTTAGGTGCATTTTATACACCGAATGTAGCCCTGCCCACCCACTGACCCCCACCCTTTGGCTTCTGCCTCCCAGCAGTTACCTCCTTGCAGCAAACAGCAAGAAGAAATTAGCACAACTTGATTGGATTGGCCTCCCGACTCTCAGCTGTTTTGCGTGGGCTTCTGCTGCTTGCTGCAAGGAGGTAAATTGCTGGAGCAGATTTTTTTTTCCCTTGTGCTAATCAAGCTATGCTGAAAATGAAAATGAAAGTAAAGCAGGCTGTTTGCTGTTTGTTGCAACGAGGCAAAATTGCTGGGGGGCAGAGGCAGATTTCTTTTTCTTCTTTTCCTCACCAAAAAAGGTAGGTGTGTCTTATACTCCGGTGCATCTTATATTCCGAAAAATACAGTAATTCCCTACAATTGCAATGACGGTATTATGAGGCCCTGTATATCATTATCAATAAAAAATATTACCAGAAGAGAAAAACCTGGGACCTCTTACAACTAGATACAATTCTAGGACTGTCTGATTGGGAGTACTAGGAGTTATAGTTCAATGACATCTGGAGCAGTGGTGACATTTAAATCTTTTTACTACCGGTTCTGTGGCCATGGCTTGGTGGGCATGATGTGGCTTGGTGGGCGTGGTAGGGGAAGGATACTGCAAAATATCCATTCCCACCCCTCTCTGAGGCCAGCCAGAGGTGGTATTTGCCAGATCTCCGGACTACTCAAAATTTCCACTACCGGTTCTCCAGAATATGTCAGAACCTGCTGGATTTCACCTCTGATCTGGAGGCCAAAAGTTCCTATCCCTGATACAAAAGAAGAATAACTACTAAAGCTATATAGCTATGCCACAATAATCTAGGAAATAGGAAAGGGTAAGGGGGGGGTCAGAGGAGTCACTTGTTTCGTATATTCATGTAGCCAGATTCTGATTTTAGTCCATCAGTGTTACTCACACCCTGAGGAAACCATGCTCACGATGATGGAAGTGGAGGTGCTGGAACTCTGGACAAGGACAGTAACAAGGACTCCTACCACAAGCCCTGCCACTGGGTTGGAGAGGATAGCGTTGTCCTTGAAAATATCTCCAGCTACTTTACCTGGGGGGGGGGGGGGAAAGCAGAGAGTAGCAAAACAGATCTGAACATATGGCATCAAGTCTAGTCCAGCTTACTCATAAAGCAAGTTTTAGTCAGAGTCTGTTAATTACTGGCTGAACATATAGCTTGTGCATTATTACCCCCCGTTAAAAGATTCCGGTTTAAAATGAGCTCTTTCTGGAAATGGGATGGGGAAATCTACAGGAAGTCTATGAAAACAACCCTTTAAAAGCTCTTTCTTTTTGTAAACGAAGAAAACATGAAGTTGGTTTCTCTGTATCAGGAGCGTGAGCAGTACTGATACCATAAGCAATTTCTCATTTCTGCTAGTTCTGTGGTGCTTAATTGAAATTCTAATTTAAAAAAAAGAGATCCTGAAAATTTGAGGAGAGGAAAATATGGTAGAATTATTGCAATATACTGTAGCTGATATGTGACGGAGCTGAACAAATGAGGATATCCTCAAAGCATTTGCTAATCAGAAGTGACATTTTCCTTTCGTGAACAAAATTTACCCTTTTGGAGAAGAGATTATGGACTTCTCATTAGGAACAGAAAAAACATCTGGAGGGGAGGGAAGGGGTCACATGAATCTCTAGTACAGTGGTTCTCAACCTGTGGGTCGGGACCCCTTTGGGGGGTCGAATGACCCTTTCACAGGGGTCGCCTAAGACCATCGGAAAACAAATATTTTCAATGGTTTTAGGAATAATTTTATTGTTGGGGGTCACCACAACATGAGGAACTGTATTAAAGGGTCGCAGCATTAGGAAGGTTGAGAACCACTGCTCTAGTAAAATTATTGAAATTCAACTTTACACACACCAGCTTTCTGCCCTAATAAACATACTGACCCCATTGATGGGGAAATAATTAACCAAGGTGTCTTCTGCACCTTGATCTCCTTTCTTGTCCAAAAGACTTATTTTGCATGATAACATGCTTCCTACTCACACTCCCAGGGCTTTCAACCGTTCCTTCTACTCTCAGATCAGCTCTCTTCATCTTCTGACTTAGACCTGTGCAACAACAGCACTTCCCTGACTGACCAGCCTTGTTTCCACAATGGAGGGCAGTATGCTAAGGTTTTGAACCATTTTTTATTTATTTATTTTTATTTAATTGGATTTATATGCCGCCCTATCTCCACAGGACTCAGGGCGGCTCACAACAATAAACAAGACAAACAAACCGTTAAAAACAAAGTCCATGATAAAATTGACAAAAATCCAATAAAACCCCATTAAATTCTATTAAAAACCCCATCAGTCTAGGGCGGCTAGATGAAATAGCCACGTTTTCAGCCCACGGCGGAAGGAGCGACTAACAACTATTATTGTTGTTAGTTGAAAAGTCGCGTCCAACCCATCACGACCCCATGGATAACGTTCCTCCAGGCCTTCCTGTCCTCTACCATCTTATGGAGTCCATTTAACCTCATGCCTACTGCTTTCTATGGAGAATAGATCTTTACAGCATCGGACTTTCCTTTCACCACCAGATGCAGCCATAGCTGAGGGTCCTTTCGGCTTTGGCCCAGTCCCTTCACTCTTTCTGGCGCTACTAGTACTAGCCCTCTGCTCTTCCCCAGTAGCATATTGGACACCTTCCGACCTGAGGGGCTCATCTTCTGGCGTCATATCTTTTTTCCTTTTGTGCTGTCCATGGGATTTGAACTGTAGATGGATTTAAATAACAAAGGTTTTCCTATCACCTTGTTATTCCCTAAATAAATCTTGTCTATCTTCTTTTACCCAAGATTACTTCCTTACAACACTTCTAACTTCCATGTTTCTCACGCCACTTATTTCTTCCACTATGACAAGGCTGTCCACTGATGACCCAGTGTTGCCCTCAGCCTCTTTCTTCAGAGCCCAACTCCAACAGCACCCACGCCAGCAGCAGAGACAGACAGGAGGTGGAACCCACACAGAAGGACATGTAGCACTTTCGTTCTGAGGGATCGTTAAGGAGGAAGGGATGGAGGGTGGCTGGAGAGGAGGAGAGGAGAGGCAGGCAAGTATCAGGGTGACCTCACCTCCTGCCAGCTGGAAAGCGGAGCTCAGCACATCCAGGGAGCACACAAACAGGTATAAAAAGGCAAACATCAAGGGGACCTTGAGAAAGGAAATAAGGATGGATCTGGTTCTTGCACATTTGCCAAGGGCTGCAAAGGAAGAACAGAGATTAAATACAGTCATGCAGTAGATTCAGTTCAACTTTTATCACCCACAGACTATCCAACTGTATCCTGCTGGTGCTCCATTTCATTTTTTCCACAACACTAAACTTTCCATGTAGTTGCTGCACACTGGGAAAGCTTATGTAGGAGCTCCAGATAGCCTTTTAAATCAGTTACTGTTAAGTTTCATCATAACTAATAAATAACAACAACAAAAAGATATATCAGTGATTGTGCCTCAAAAATAGAAAAAAAATCTACATATATTACAGAGACTAAAGTTAAAAGAAGAAAAAGTAACTAAGGGGAAAAAAGACCTATGTATTATCAGTATAAAGTCAGTTACATTTTGTAATTAAATCTAGGCCACATAGAAACATATTGCTCCACCGTCACGTTTTTAGAACATGCTGACATTTCAAAAATTGACAATGAACATGTATCTCAAATCCATTCCTGAACTTCAGGAGAATAGGTTTCTCTACATTTACATAAACTTAATGTCTTCCTTGAGTCACAGCATGATCAACACACTGCTAACTCCATATTTAATTTCTTCAAGTGCTCTCTTAATTGTAGAGGATATGGCAACCTGGTTGTGATGCACACATTCAACCATGACTTTAAAGCAGCTGATAATTAGCTACCAAGCCAGCCTCAAAATTTTGCTTTCAATGATCAGACCCTGGGAATTTTGGATCAGGATATGGAACAAATTGCCTTTGCTGTTACAGAGCTGGTGAATTGTTACATTTTCCAACCTTCCCAGGAGAAAATGTAGGATGATTTTGTTTACTCGCCCTGTCTTCCAACTACCTTTTTACTGAACGTGGATTGTTTAAACTTTGTTTTAATGTGTACAGGTTTAGTTTGTATTACTTTCACTGTTTGTAGTGCTTTGAAGTGTGATTGCTTGGAAAGACTCTGTGATTATCTTAAATATAATAATTTACAAAAAGATTAGAGAACTTATACTCCTGAGACAGAGGAAGTACAGTTCATCTCTCACAACCCAACAACAACTGAGAGTTGAATCTGGAAAGCCCCTGATTTCCACATCCCCAAATTCCAAACCCTGAGAAGAAACATGAAATTGCTTTGGAGACTTTGTTTTCAGTCTCCAAATGGCCCCTGACTCTGCTTGCACTCAGGGTAAAAAGAAACTTTTTGTCAGCAAGGGGGAATGTGAAAAAGAGGTATCCATCCATCCATCCATCCATCCTCCAGGCATTCCAAGCCCTATACAAACACAACTATTGCAACTCTTGCTTGAGTTGCTTAGTAACGGTAAAGAACGTGCCGGTCATTTTTCTATAAATGGCAACATAGAAGGAGCCTGAAGTGGGAACAGCACTCCCACAGTCAGAAGAGTGGATTGAGAAGGAAGCTACAGAACTAAACCTAAACACTGACGCCACTGAAGACCAAATTTCACACGCTACAGTTTTTGAAAGAAGGTGGAAGGACCCTGCCAGATTGTTCTCCTTGTATACTGTGAGTTATCAGTTGGAAACATATAGCATATACTGTGGTGGTGTTGATGGTGGTTATACAACCTTAATGATTTAGTTCTGACACATACAGAGTCATTACCAATTCATGACCAAGTCATGGGTTTTTTTATTGCACAAAAATTACTCAAGTACTCTGACCATTGCTCTTGCAGTGCTGTGGTATTTCAGATTCTGAGTTTGTCTGTGAGTAATAGGATGTATGGTAGGTCAATATTCCGGGTAGGAGAGGAAGAATATCTAGCTGTTCAAGGGTTGTAGGATTTGAATTCCAGCAATTCATATTGCTGACCACATGACTGCTGGGCGGTGGGATCCATTAACATCTCTGTTAGATAAGAGTTCTCCTGTTGTGGCCCCGTCCTCTGAGCCTGTCCCATCGGAGGAAGAAAGCTCCGAGCATGAGGAAGAGGAGTCAGCCAGGCCTCCCTCTCCAGGCCCCTCCCCTCTGGCATTGTCTCAAGTGCCGGCCGAGGGAGAAGAGACAGCTGATTCGGATCAGAGTGATAAAGAAACATCATTCCTGGACGCACGCCTCCGAAGGCGTGATAAACGTTTGCAGCAGCTTAGGAGGCGTGCTAGGGATTAGAACTGAGTTACTGGACCACACCCCAGAGACTATATAATAGAGGGTGGTGGTCAAGGATTTTTGTGACGAACAAAGCAAACCTTGGATAGTCACTAAAGCCTCGTCCGGAGCTGCTGAGAGAAAGATTTAAAGTGTCGGACATTTGGACTCTTGAGTATTTGTCTTTCTGTTTTACTTTGAAAATAAAGTCACTTGGCAGACGGTGTGTCTATCGCTGCCAAGTGGGAGATAAGAACTGGGTGCGTTCCAAAGTGTTTCCTTAACCCTCGACTGGCTGTGTGTGTGTGGGTGGGTACGGGGACAGATCATCTCCATCCTGGTCTATAGCAATGGTGAAAAGCCTAAAAGACACATTTGCTGCATTGCGGTTGCTGTTACTGAAGCTGCATCCCATGTTGCAGGGCCCAGTTGGCAGAAGAAAGCATATCTAGATGGTTGCCATAAAATAAATAGTTATTATCCAAGTGTTGAGCGATTGCTTATACTGGGTTCAGTATGCAGAGCAGAACAGAAACCCACAAATCTTTAAGTGGCCACAAAACACAGGTTAGTTGGAAGAAATCCCCAGCTTGGATTCAGACCTAATTTGCTGAGCTCCACGTGAATAGATCTGCCATTGGGAAGAGTCAGCCTTCGATGTATTGTTGTTCTTGTACAAGTTCACTCAGCTTCCCTAAACAGGCTAGCATTTGAGATTAGTTTTGCATCCACAGAGTGTCCATATTTGTATTTGTTCCTGTTTTTAAAGATTGGGTGCTGTCCTTGGGGGTAAAACTCCCCCAAAGTGATATGTTGAAAATTATCCAAAAAAATCAATTGGAAAGAAGAAGGACATACATTTTCCTTCTGTCTATGAAGTGGCCCAAATTAAACCAACACAAACTTTCTCAGTCATTAATAAGGTTGTTGAGTGGTGATGCCCTATTTACTTTAGGTAAGTTAAGGTAGATAAATTGGCAGATTCATTCTCAGCAGGGAAATATTCACCATTTGTTCTCCCCAAGACAGGTTGGGGCAGGAGGAGGTATGACTATTAAGAGATGAGTAGTATTTTATCCATCTCTCAAAAGTTAATTCATTGGGTAGGTAGGGATTTTCTGCTCCTGCTTTCCCTAGAAACCCTTGGCCATCCCATGGATTTCCTACAAGTGAAACTGTTTGGTAAATCCTGCTTCACCAGGTAACCTCTGCCATCCATGAATCAGACATTGTAGGTGACCTGTGTAGGGGGTACTAGAAATGTACTTTTGCTGCTGAGCAATCTGTCTGTCAGTCAAAGCTTTCTTTTTATGTGTGATGACCCATGTAGAAAGCCATGGACAGGCTAATCACTCAGTGGGGCACTCCAGGCTATCTGCAGCACCCATAACACACAGCCTGCAGTGCAACTAGGCAGATCCTAGGTAGAGCCCAATCATCACCAAATAGGAAGGTTGTGCTGGAAGAAAATGCAAACCACCACCTTCACACTAGATCAGTAAACTCCAATATTAGGTGGCCTTGGCTATGGAAGATGAGAAGAAAGGATGTGATCTTATATGATGATTAGAGGAGCACCTTTGAGCTGAAGTTAGGGGATGTGTGGCTGTTTCCATAACACCCCAAGCAGAGCCTTTGAGTCTGAAGCTGATCTAGAAGGCTGGACCAGTCTCCAAATAAACTGGATGCAAATTGTCAGCACCTTGAAGTGGGCTAAAAATAGCTATTTATTTATTTATTTATTTATCAAATTTCTATACCGCCCTACTCCCGGAGGACTCAGGGCGGTGAACAGCTAAGATAAAATACAGATAATACAAACATTAAAAATCCATTAAAATTATTAAATATTTTGGCCGAAAACAAATTTAAAACACCCAATTTGTAAAACAGATTAAACAATTTAAAAATTTAAAAGGGAGAGTTAGGCCAGGCCAGCCTGCTGAAATAAAAATGTTTTGAGAGCACGACGAAACGTGCGCAGATCCGGGATCCTCCGTATCTCCGGGGGGAGTTCGTTCCAGATGGTAGGTGCCCCCACAGAGAAGGCTCTCCCCCTGGGGGCCGCCAGTCAACACTTTTTGGCCGACGGCACCCTGAGAAGCCCCTCTCTATGGGAGCGTACTGGTCAGTGTGAGAGGCTATTGGTAGAAGAAGGCGGTCTCATAAATATCCCGGACCGATGCCATGGAGCGCTCTAAAGGTGGTAACCAAAACCTTGAAGTGCACCCGGAAGACCACCGGGAGCCAGTGCAGCTCGCGCAGGAGGGGGGTCACATGGGAGCGCCACGCCGCTCCCATAACCACCCGCGCGGCCGCATTCTGCACCAGCTGGAGCCTTCGGGTCCTCCTCAAGGGGAGTCCCATGTAGAGAGCATTGCAACATAGTGTATTTTTCATTCTTGGTTTGTGGGCTTCCGGGGTTCAGTTTGATGTTTAAGATTGATTCATAGTGTGCTTTTTCTCTTCCTTTCCATTAAAGATCTCCTTAGGTTTGGGAACCAATTGTTCCCTTTTAGAGAATTCCAATTTTCCTATACTTGAGAAAGGAAAAGAAGCCTGTCTCCTCATTTTTGCTCATGCTGGTTTTCTATGTGACATGACAAGAGGAAGTATATTGAACTTATTATATGTTCTGAGGAAGACAATCGGTCATCCATGGTCATCAAAAGTACTTCATTTAGGCATTATATGTGTTTGTGTGTGTGTGTGTGTGTGTGTGTGTGTGTGTGTGTGTGTGTAATCTTTCTTTCTAACATTTTTCACTCCATATTGTCTAGAATTTTACTTATTTATTTATATTTATTAAATGTATATGTTGCTTATCTCACAATCCAAACCCACTCTGGGAGGAATATAAATTTAACATAGGTAGGATTACTAGGAATCACTGTCCAACCTATTTGCAGGGAATCAGATTGCTATGTTTGATTCTTATATGTATCCTGGATCAATTTAGCTACTTGGTTTGGACCCTAAGTATTTTGCAGAGTTAAATCATCTCCTCATTGGCTAGCTTCTTGAAGTCTCCTACAGTTTATTGGGCTTTTTTTTCACAGCTAGGAAAAAGCTCCTCCTAGTGATGAACTCAACTCAGGGTAGAATAGTGTCTAACTCCTACTGTTTATTAAGCAGCAAATGACATTTTTTTCTATCTCCCAGTCTTGAGGTTCCTGCTTGCCTCCTCTGTTCAGACATCTGTGTCTTCTGTTGTTAGGAAGACGCATTGCACTCCCTTGCAATATGAGGGCCATGGGGCACAAATAGAATCATAGAGTACATGAATAATAGTACATGAATAATAGTATTGAAAAGCCCCATTTAGCTCATGGAGTCCAAAGGCCACTCAGTGCAAGAATCCAAATGAAAGAATTCCAGCTTGTCCAGTTTCTGCTAGAAGAGAAGACATCCAATGAAGGAGAAGCCATCACCCCACTGGACCATTGGCTCCACTGTCAAACTATTCTTACTGGTAGGAATTTTTTTTTCTCACTTTCCATCAAAATCTTGCCTTTATGTTGTTTAAAACCATTATTTGCCATAGTATGGAATGAAAAATATAACAGGTCTTGAGCATCTTCTCTGGGACATTCCCTCAGGTATGTTCCCTCAGGTAAATTCACAAGCTTTGAATATAGAAGTTCATCTCAGCTGCAATTCCAGATAGGGCTGGGCTGAAAAATCTCCTGCTCAGAACTCAAACCATCAATAATGGCCTGGTGGACCAATAGTATCGGGCTGCTTCCACTGTTCCATCCACCCTGTTTAAACTTTCACTTTGGTTTAGACTCTTATAGGCACAAAAACCATAGACAAATGGCAGCCATTTCCTCCAAATGGAGGAAAGAAGATGGATTCTCAGCCATTCAGCCTCTCAAATTTTACAGCTCTGTCTTTTCTAACCATTTGGCACTGATTTAAAATGTTTTAAATGTCATATTTGGGGGGGGGAGGAAACAAACTGATATGGTCATACTTTGGACCCCGAGAGACTCTAATATATACAAGGGAAGACTAGGTTTCTGCCCTTGGCTGCAAATGTCTTTGCCTTGGCTGCTTGTTCTTGTGCTTTTAAATGACAAATAAAGCCATGATGCTGAGGGTGCAGAGGGCTGTTGGTTAAAAACCACAGTGTCAACTTAGGGAGAGCTGATGTGACACAAAAGAAATCAGTAGGGAAAGCTGTGGAGAACACAATGCTAAGCATTTTCTTCTGCTGCAACTGTGGATCATTAAAAACACAATGACAGGGGCAGAAGGAAGTTGTCAAATGGCAGCTTCATGGAGGAAAAAAGACTTGATTGACGTGTTTTTTATTGTTACCAAGCAACAGTACTAAAATAGCTAAAGTAATTCTACCACAAATAGAAAGCTTGAATTGTAGCATACACCATTGCAAGGAACAAATCTATCTTGGAAACATTGGTAAACAATATCTGATTTTTTTAAAAAAAGGTATTTTTGTCTGTTGTTTGAATCTTTGTCCATAAAAACTGATTCCATATTAGAGTTCTTTCACATTGCTGAGATCAGCTTTTCTGCAATTTGCTGGACAGAGGATTAAGGTGGAAGTATCCCACGTGCAAATAAAATCTCTCTTTATTAATGAGAAATAATGGTTTTCATGGCCGTGGTCCTCCTAATAAGTGTGTGTGTGTATGTATAGACCCTATTCTGCACAAGATTTCCATTTCTGTTTATTAAAGATTTCTCATTTCCATACTTGATAGTATTCTGTATCTTCCTTTTCTTTTATTTCTTTCGTTAATTTGTCCTATCTATCAAGTATGGAATAAGTGGTACGATTGGTTTGAGATTAGGGAAAGTAAATGTGAATAAATGATGGAGAGGAGAATGTGACAAATGTGTAAAATATTGTAAATGAATAAAAATTAGATATAAAAGGACGATAAAGATAATGATAATGAAGGATGGGAAAAATGGGGAATGTATAAAGTATAAAGTAAGAGGAATGAAACTGATATGTAAAAAGAAACACATATTATGTGTTTGTCCTATGTTGTTGTGTTGTGTTGTTGTTATAAAATCAATAAAAAAAACTTAAAAAAAAAGATTTCTCATTTCCAGTTAATCCTATTTTATTTCTTCCTGATTAACTCAAGTGTATTCCTTAAAGAGCTTCTTCTCATTCCCCTAAAGTCAGTGAATTTTTTGTCTTCTTTCAAAAATGATCCTTCCTTCCTTCCTTCCTTCCTTCCTTCCTTCCTTCCTCCCTCCCTCCCTCCCTCCCTCCCTCCTTTCTTCCTTCCTTCCCTCCTTCCTCTCAAGAGGACCTGTTAACATTTGTTGTCTATATATGTACACTTGTCCTAGACTAGCACAATAAAGGCCCACATAGCTTCTGAAGAATTTTTTAAAATAACAAAATGTCATAAGGTAGACAAATCCATTTCTAACCACAAACCATGTCATAGTCCAGTATTTAACAGGAACACTTGATGTTAACAATTGCAAGTATACTGCATACAACATTCTCAACCATTAGACGTCAATGATTCCAGCACCCAATCACTTCTGTTGGAGTTCTGGCAAGCAGAACATTCCTCAAACTGTAAAAATATTAGCTTAAAGGAAAGAAATTGGGATCCAGGCCAATGCATGAACAACAGTGCAATGTAAGTAAATTTTACTTTAAAAAATTCGATCTTAGAATATTAAATTCAGGAAAAACCCCGAATTTAGACCTTCACCTGACACTTCACCACACACCACACTCCCATTTTCAGTGATTATGGAGGAATCACTGAAAGCCAATTTGACACCCCTGACCTAGGTCATTTTGGCTGATTTTGAAAGCCTAAGTAGGGCTGGTCCAGTGGTAAGTTTCAATTTTTTTTACTACCAGTTCTGTGGGTGTGGCTTGGTGGGTGTGGCATGGCATGGCATGGCTTGGCAGGCGTGGCTTGGTGGGCGTGGCAGGGGAAGGATACTGTAAAATCTCCCTTCCCACCCAATCCAGGGGAAGGTTACTGCAAAATCCCCATTTCCTCCCCATCAGCTAGGACTTGGGAAGCAGAGAATAGATGGGGGTGGCGCCAGTCAGAATTTTTACTACCGGTTCTCCAAACTACTCAAAATTTCCGCTACCGGTTCTCCAGAACTGGTCAGAACCTGCTGAAACCCACCTCTAGGCTGGTCCTAGCTAATATCACCAGGAAATACTTAGCCTGTAGAGACACTGGAAAGTAAAAAGTAATTCCAGAAGAAAGAAATGAAAAGACACCTCTATATTGTTGCCAATGGTTCTGCCTATACATGTCCTTGAAATCACCAGAGCCAAACCTGATTTGAAAGTGATATGATGTTACAAAGAAATGAGAGGTCTGGTACACTTGCTTGTTCACAGCTATATCCCTAGCTTCGTTTCCCTTACCTGGTTTCTCTGCTTCATCCCAACTTGTGTATGGATCCCACATCTTGGAAAAATGAATGTTGATTTCATGGCTCTCCATGCTTTCTGCCAGCCTCCCTGAGGAGCCAGGGGGAAAGTGCTCAAGGTTAGAACTGACAGCGGGGAAGAAATATTCTCTAGGATTTGGGTTCATCTGTAAAACTATGGAGAAAGAAATGTTTATTAAAGACACTGCATCTCACAAATGATAGGATCTTCTGCTTCCTGTATCACTTGTGAGATTTTCTAGGACACACTTCAAAAAATAAGAGGCAGAAAAGCCTACTGTGCCATCCCATGAAGAGCCAGTACCAGCTCTTGTTGGAACTTTTGCAGTATCTGTACCTCGGAAGCATGTAGCTTCTTTAGCTATGTGCAAAAATGGGCTACGAACATAGTTCTTCTATAGACTCCAAGAACCTCTACAGTACTCTGTAAATAGGATCTTCTATCTATAGAGAAAGCACCTGCTATGATCACTTTTTTAAGGACCAAAAAAAAAAAAAATCCCATGGGAGTTACACTGAACAGAAAAGAGACTAATACCCAACTGGCCCAAGAATACACGGAAAAGCATGAAGAAAGTGAAGTGAAGGAAAGAATAAAAAGGGCAGAACTTCAGCTACAGTGCTCAGAGGCTGCACAAGACTCTCGAGTTGAGTACCTTGGAGGTTATGTCCGACGGGAAAGGGTGGTGCCTGCAAGACTCTTCCTGTGGATTGACAGCATTGCACTGGATTTTCTCTCCCATAAGGTAGCATCATAGCCTGCCAGCTGAAACAGACATTGCCAATGATAAATGTGACGCTTGTCCTGACGTCTTGGTTTCAAGGAAATTCCAGATGCTTCCCCTATGTTCAGCAGCCAAGAAGCCATATATCTTAATCATTTATCCAGGGTAATGGATTAGTATTGCAGATAGATACATATCTATTGCTTCTACCGGTACCTATATTTTTATTGCCATTGAGGCCATATCTAAGATTCTTCATTGTTTGGAAGAGAGATTAGACAGGTGTTATGTTAGCCAAAAGGTCAGAAAATTTTGCTGGGTTGGATCTATGCCTGCCTTGATACAGGTATTTTTTTTACCCTGGGTTGATTCGATGCTAGGTCTTAAGAAGTAAGAACCTGCCCTGGAATGGGCTGGGTTCAGATGCCCAATCCATGTCTGTTGGTGCTACTTCAGGCTCTTGTTCCTTTGTGTTCCCTTACCTGCTGCAGGTGAGATACCCAGGGGAAACATCTCAAGCTTACAGTCTAGGTCCACAGTCCCCTTGCAGACAAAGTAAGTGGAGAAACACTATGTCCTTTATACACCAGACAGGAGCAAAGTCTAAAGAGTTGTGTGTTGCTTCTTACATCAATTGCACAGTCCCCCCACTCCCTTCTCAGAAATTCCTTTAGTTAATTGCTAACTTCTACATCATTCAGAGTTATGGACTCAAATGACCTCTTGCCCTGTTGGTACAGTACATGCTGAGTCCAAACTGCCCAGGATATCAATCTAGTTCTGGCTGCAGGACACTCAAGCTACTTTTCTAAATATGGGAGTGCTTAAGCCTCAGAAATGAGGCTAGTTTTTGCTTCTCAAAGAACTTGCTCCACAGTGGGCTTTGGAGAGCTAACAAAATGTTTCCAATTAATTTTCAGTAAGATAAAGCAGTGGCAGAGAACCTTTCTTGGCCACTAGCTCATTTGAAATAGAGTGATAGCATCTGTGGTGGGTTCACAAAATTGTGGTATAGAAGCCATGGCCAGTGATAAAACATCAATTTACCAGAAAGCAAAGTAGCACCTCCAAGTATACTCTAAAGGACTTAGCAATATCAATAGCACTTAGACTTATATATCGCTTCAAAGTGCTTTACAGCCCTCTCTAAGCAGTTTGCAGAGTCAGCATATTGTCCCCAACAATCTGGGTCCTCATTTTACCAACCTCAGAAGGATGGAAGGCTGAGTCAACCTTGAGCTGGTCACAGCTGAACTCTTGGCAGTGGAATGCAAAGTTAGCCTTGTTGTTGTTAGTTGCAAAGTCATGTCCGCCCCATCGCAACCACATGGACAACATTCCTCCAGGTTTTCCTGTCCTCTATCATCCTGTGGAGTCCATTTAAGCTCACGCCTACTGCTTCAGTGACTCCATCCAACCACCTCATTCTCTGTCATCCCATTCTTCTTTTGCCCTCAGTCTTTCCCAGCATTAGGCTCTTCTCCAGTTAGTCCTTCCTTCTCATTAGGTGGCCAAAGTATTTGAGTTTCATCTTCAGGATCTGGCCTTCTAAAGAGCAATCAGGATTGATCTCCTCTAGGACTGACTGGTTTGATCGCCTTGCAGTCCAAGGGACTCGCAGGAGTCTTCTCCAACACCATAGTTCAAAGGCCTCAATACTTTGGCGCTCAGCCTTTCTTATAGTCCAACTTTCACAGTCATACATTGCAACTGGGGAAACCATAGCCTTGACTATACGCACTTTTGTTGGCAGGGTGATGTCTCTGCTTTTTAGTATGCTAAAGTTAGCCTAGTGCATTCCAATCACTACGCCACCACAGCCCCTAGAAGACTTTTGTGAGGCTTATAAGCAGTCCTTCCATATATAGCATGCTTCCCCACACATGACCATCTCCCAGCTTTCTTTGCAGCACCCAAGAGAAGTTCAGAAAGGGCTGCTGCATGGCCAAACATCTTCAACTATGCATTGCTAGTGCATAGGGGTAACTTGACCGGCCCAGAAAGCACCTGTCTGACAGTCATGTCCACTAGCTGAGAATGCACATTCCATGCTGTTGCTCTGTGTGGGCCTAAAAAGTAAATTATGGCAGATTATATTAATTATAATGCTACGTATAGGATGGATGGTGTGGTCACATTTGGAGAAGTGCATTCCTTTCTGACCAGTTTATGGTACCTAGAAATATATATATGGCAGAGCTATAAAGAATGCAAAAAAAGTTAACTAGAATGATGAAGAATAATTTTCTTATCAATGAAGATTAAAGTGTTTGGTGCCGCTTAATATTGGGGGGAAAAAAACCCTGTTAGGCATATTACAGATGTGTGACTTCATTTTAAAAATGAAGAGTGGGATATTTTCCCCTGTTCCATACAAGAATGAGAATGTATAATTACTTACTGAGTAACTAGGAGTAGATGTTGCCATTATTTTTTATGCATTGCGCCTGCCCTTTTCGTCCTTCCTTTGACTTAGGAAAGGCAAAAGAAAGTACTTCAAAGAGTTCACAGCCATGAAATTCCCTGCTGCAAAACATGGTAATACAGTATGACTTCAGTAAGGTTTATTTAAAGAATGCTCAACACCTGGAATGCACTACCTGACTCTATGGTTTCTTCCCCAAATCCCCAAAACTTTAACCTTAGACTGTCTACTGTAGACCTCACCCCATTCCTAAGAGGTCCCTAAGAGGGCGTGCATAAGCGCATCAGCGTGCCTACCGTCCCTATCCTAACGTTTTCTTTTATTCATATCCTTTTCATGTATTTATAATTACGTTTACACTTGTATCTGTCATAAAATACATGCTTGACGAAATAAATAAATAAAATAGAATAGAATATCCACATTCAGAGGCAGTCTAGATATGACTATCAAGCATGGGGGTGGGTTTTGGACTTCCAGTGTTAAGAAGTGTGGGGATTGGCTTTTTGGTCCCCACAGGAGCAGAAATAGATGCCCCCAACCCAGTGCCCTCCCAATGAATAGCAATAATTACTTCTAGATTATCCAGTTACAATATGGCCATGTTGACTAGGACTGATGTACAGGCATAGTTGGGGAAAACTAACTTTGATTCTTGGTCTGATTCAGTGGGGGCTTTTGTAGTTTTCATCCTTATCACAATCTCCATTCTTGTGTACTAAAAACAGAATGGTTTGTTTATGGAGATGGAACCCATCAAGCTGGGTACTCATCATTTTACAGGTATGCAGATAGAATATATAATCAATTTTATTTGATTTAGAAGCAAATTCCAGTGGATTTAATGTGAGGGAATTCTGTAGAAAATATTGCCTCATAAAAATCAGCTAATGGTCTTGTTTAGGTTAACTAAATTTCAAGAAAAATCCCAAATATGTTTTCTAGAGGGTTTCCTTTCTCTGGCTTAATCCAGTAGATTTTAGAAGTTTCAGATATAGAAGCCAACACTGGGCAATGCAAAAATCCAGAGCATTAAATAGGCACAGAAGGACACAGAAAACTATAACACAAATGTCCAGATTTTTGCAGTTAATATCTGGTAGCCCTCTTAAAAAAGGGGGGGGGAATGAAAGTGCTGCTTATTTTTTTAGCAAATGATCTTAAAGCAAAAATCAGAAGCAAAGGCATATATAGAAACAAACAGTCAGGCTTTTGTGCACAGGACTCCTCACTCTCCCATTACTTAGCCAACAATGGTAACCCATCCGGTGAATGCCTTCAGTGGTGGCCCTGAAAGTATTAAACTGCCCAAACTTCCATCAAGCCTGGGCTTTGAAAATGCCTCACTTTAATTGACTGTTATCTTCAATCTTTACTCTGACACAGATTTTCCATCCATGAGAGAAACTCTAAAACGACAACTGAATGCTAAACCTGCAGCCAATGATATATTCTGTGTAGTCATATTGTATGTATACCAGGGGTGAAATCCAGCAAGTTCTAACAGGTTCTGGAGAACCGGTAGCAGAAATTTTGAGTAGTTTGGAGAACCGGCAAATATCACCTCTGGCTGGCCCCAGAGTGGGATAGGAATGGAGATTTTGCAATATCCTTCCCCCAGGAGGGGAGGGAATGGAGATTTTGCAGTATCCTTCCCCTGCCACGCCCACCAAGCCACGTCCACAGAACCGGTAGGGAAAAATTTTGGATTTCACCCCTGATATATACTGTATATGCTTTCAAGCAATCTCTTTTGCCACAAAAAAAGGCACACATCCCATATCTTTGTATACATGAAAATATTTCTAAAAGGAGATTTGGGTCAAATTGTGTTAAAAGCTTCAGCTAAATTAAAAATAATTGGGTGATTGGGAGCACATAAAAAAAAGAGGAAATCTTACATTTGGAACACATGACAAAATTCCTAAGTTAGCCAAGTTCCTAGATAAATATTTCATTGTATCTTATTATTTTTTAAAATGTTCTTCCTTTTTTTGATGTTTTGTTTTGCGCCATAGAGTTGGTCTTGACTCCCAGACAAGTCCTTGAAGGTTTTTTTGGCATGCTTTTTCAGAAGTTGTTTGTTTTTGCCTCCTTCCTAAGGCTGAGAAAGTCATGTTGAAAGTCCCAAAGATGCTTTTTCAAAAGGCAACTGACTTTCTTTATTTTTCCTTGAAGATGTTTTGCTTCTCATCCAAGAAGCTTCAGTTCAGAACTGAGAAATTTCTTGGATGAGAAGCAAAACATCTTCAAGGAAAAATAAAGAAAGTCAGTTGCCTTTTGAAAAAGCATCTTTGGGATTATCACGACCTGGATGACTGAGAATTTCCATAGTGATGTCTAAAGCTGCATTAGAACTCACAATCTCAGTGTTTATTGGTTACATTTATATGCCATCCTTTCCGGAGACTCAGGGCGGCTTACAATGTGTTAAGCAATAGCCTTCATACTTTTGTATATACCTGCTTAGTAGGGCTTTCGCCCCCCTCCCCCCCCAGCGATGTTCTTTTTTATACAAAGTCAGCTTATTGCCCCCACAAACCGGGTCCTCATTTTACCTACCTCGAAAGGATGGAAGGCTGAGTCAACCTTGAGCCTGGTGAGATTTGAACTTGCAGTAATTGCAGGCAGCTGGTGTTACTTAACAGTGCTTTAGTCTGCTGTGCCACCAAGGCTCTTATTAGTGTTGAAGATTAGAATGATAGATTTATTTATTTATTTATTTATTTTATTCGGCTTATATGCCGCCCTATCTCACAATGGACTCAGGGCAGCTCACAACAATAAAACACAAGCCACAATAAAAATAAAGACTAAAATCTAAAAAATTTAAAATTAACCCATTAAAACCCTTTAAAAAGGGTAGAAAGAAGAGTAATATGAAGAAACTTTAGAGAGAGTCGTCAAAATATATTTGTACTTATAATTGCTGTGAATATCAGAAACCTTTATACTTTATACTTTTTTTCAGAAATCAGAAAACTTTATACTTTTTTCCTTTCTTTTCTACTTTCCTTTCTTCCTTTTCTGGTATTTTCCCTTTC